GAGACCTGAAGACCAGCTGCTGTGGTAAGAGGGCCAGAAGTGAATTTTTTTTTCACTTTATTTTTTTTTCATTTGGATAATCAAATTTAAGAGATTCTGGTGTGGTACACCAACTGTCTTGGTTTTTGTTCTGACTTGCTCCCTCCAGCCATGCTTTCATAGCCACTCACTGCCTGGGTTTCCTTGCCTTTTGTTTCCTTCGTATTGTTACGGGTTGTTGATGACTTATATCATCTCCCTTATATCAAGTGAGAGTCATCTTCATGTACTTAAAAACTGTGCCTAAGAATATTCCTATTGTTTCTTCCACTTTTTTTTGGACTCCAGATTTACGGAAAACCGCTGACATCCTCAAAAAGGAATCTCAGCTGTGTTTCTGTGCCCAGATGCTAATCTGGTCGATGGGAACAGTTTCAGGTTTTTTGTTTGCTTGCTTCTTTCCCACTTTATTTTTATTTTTTTTTGCAATTACTAAGGTTGTTACATTCTCGAATTCTTGGATATTTGAAGTTCCTTAAGCTAACTGTGTTCAGAACTTTATCTCTGCTTATCGGTACCTTTGTACATTAAATCACTTCTTCATGGTGACTTTACAGCCTTCCCTCCTCTATTGTAGGAGTAAGTCTTTCACGCTCTTTGTTGACTGACATAAGGCGAAATGAAGTTTAAAATATTATTTTTAACGTGAGAGTAGGATAAAGGAGTGGTTAGAATGACTTACTCAGGCTTATCTTCTTTATGCAATTAGGTAGACACATTCCGTTCTACAGATTTACTTATTTATTTATTATTTTTTATTTTATTTTTGAAGTTAAATTGTGGTCCTGTAGACGTTGATGGGGAATCTTGCTGATAGTTTCAGTGATCAGGAATTAAAAGAGCCCAAAACCCTTTAATATTCTGCACATTTGTGTTCTTATTCTAGAGTAAAAATACAATTTTTTTTCTAGTTTCTCTTTTCCCAAATGTTTTGGGTTTTAGTTCTTCCCCTTTTCTGTTCAAGGTTCATTTCAGTTCTAAAACAGAAAGAAAATGTGGGACGGGAGCACAAAGGGGACGATGTACAGCAGCTCGGCCCTACCTGCTAACAGGTGTAATGTTCAGCATCAAGGAGGCGATTCACTATTGCCTTCTTTGTAGTTTCTGTGTAAATTCCCCTACGTTTATATTTTTTTCGAAAGGTGCAAGGGTAATCAAGGGTACTCAGGGTGAAGTAGTTAGCAACAGGCACTGTGGCATGAGTTAACAATTGCATCTTCAGTCAAATTAAGGCCACTTCAAAATAGTTGTGGTGTAAGAGGAAACATTTGGAGGGATACTTCCCCTTGGGGAGAAGCAGACCCGCTGCGTGTGCCTGCCTACTCTGCCCGTGCCTTCTTCATGCACGCATCCCCGGGGAGCCGGGTGAAATTTTCCTAATTGCTTGGAAGTCATTGTACTTCTCTGTGAATCCTTCAGTTCTCGTTGTGAATGGCCCTCATAGGCAAGCCCCGTTCTAAAAAGTGGTTGCTCCAGATATCCACCCTGTATGAAATGTGTGTCTGGGTTGGCTGTTTCCCCAAACCTTTGGGGTACTGTTGTGCTATTAAACCAACATTTCTCTCCTGTCTCCATTCTTTGTTTCAGTCTTCTTGCCTTACCTGGCTGAATAGTACGTCCTTGCATGTGGACTAACGACAATAACCACGCTCAGCAACGATTTCTGCAGTATAATCAGGTCAAAATCACAAGCCTGGGCCTCACAAAACTGTTTATTTGGGCCTACTCACACAGCCTTCCATAAATCTGCAGCCATCGCCCCGTAGGCTTCTGTACAGTGCAATTTGCATTCATCTGTGTCTAGCATTTATATCACCTAGGTGTCTAAAGGCGGGCATACCTGCTGAGCATTTATTGATCTATTACCAAAGCACGCGAGGAATGCGAACCGGCTACCCAGGAACTGGCTGGGAACAGCAGGGAAAGCACAGAGTTTATTTTAAGGCAGACTGCTTGGGGGGTGAAGTTCACAGGTAGCTTTTTGACAGCATACAACAGTAACCACGTTGTCTGTTCCTGCTCGTTCCTGCGCTGTGTTTGCATAGGCATTTATACAGCTGCAGAGCAAACAGCCCGGAAAGGTAAGGCAAAAAGCAATCCCATGGGCCGTGCAGCGACCCCGCTCCTCCCCGCGGCCATCCTGGCTCTGGCACGGGGCTGAGCCCGACAGCAGGTGCTGCAGGGGCTGCAGTGGCCGTGGGATGGCTGCAATAATGTGTGGTTAGCACGTTAAATAACGTGTGGTTAGCTGCGTGCAGCTCCGGGTCCAGTTGGGAGTTCGGCCTGCCTTCGTGGAGTTCATCTTCGGAAAGCTGTGGGAGACTTGGGTCTTACACTTCCTGATAGAAAGGATTTGTGTTTTTTCCCCTCTGCTGTACAAATGGTGTTGAGAGTGCGGCTTACAAACAGAGAATAACATTTTGAACTCTTTTTTTTCCATTTTAAATTCTTTATTTTTCTTCCCTCTGGTTTTATATTTGGCTTTGTTGGGTTACGCAAAACTAGATCCACTCTGTATTAAGACACAAGGATTAAAAAAAAAAAGGGGGGGCAAAAAACCCTTAGAAGAGTGTCAGTACATTTGCAGGCTGGTTATTTAGAAGTGGAGGATGTCTCAAAGGTTTCTGTGCTGGAGACTGGAAAAAACCGTGTCAGCAACATAATGGGAGAACGTGTCACGGTCGTACAAGGTACACAGCCCAGCGTTAGTTTCTTAGCAGCTGTGACAGTTATCATGATAACTAAAGCCTTGAAACCCCTGTTCAGCATTTTTACAAGCAAAACCCTAGACTTAAAGTAGACAACTCTGCCAACAGTCATACTTTTGTAAGTAAAGGGATTATGAAACATAAGCGCCTGGATGCCGATTTTTACGTTGTCTGTCAAACCTGAATAAGCAGAGACTCTTGAGCTATATTGGTTTTTACACTTTATATGCGAGAGTAAGTTTAGGGTGACTTTCAGAATGCACGGTATGTAGGGTATGTTCCTGAAAAGAGATTTTTAGCAAACCCTCACAACATCTGGTTTTCAACAGCAGCTAAGCAGAAACTTCTAGCTTTTGACACCGGTGAGTTGTCAGAGGAATTCGATCCACTCTCCCTAAAATGAGAAGCTGTTCCTGTGTCGTGTATAATATTTTGATGGTATAAGGAGGAAAGGAAAAAAAAAAAAGATTTTGGCCTTACAATATGTCATTTATGTGTTTTGCCAACGCAGGACAGAAGTTCAGCACAGGCAAGGGTGGTGTGGTCCCTCCTGACCTTTCTGGAGGTGCAGTCCCAATGCAGCTCTGGAGGTGCTGCTCGATGCCAGCTTGACCGTGAGCCTGCAGTGTGCCCAGGTGGCCTCTTCTCCCAGATAACTGGAGATAGGAGCAGAGGGAATGGCCTCAAGTTGCTCCAGGGGAGGTTCAGGTTGGAAATGAGGAGACATTTGTGCTCAGAAAGAGCTGCCAAGCGCTGGGATGGGTTGCCCAGGGAGGTGGTGGAGTCACCGTCCCTGGGGGCATTCAAGGAAAGGTTGGACGTGGTGCCTGGGGACAGGGTTTGGTGGTGACATTGGTGGTAGGGGATGGTTGGACCAGAGGGTCTTGGAGGGCTTTTCCAGCCTTAATGATTCTGTGATTCTGAGATACGTGGAGGACTGCGGCGGTTTTGGTGGTGTTGTATTTTGGCGTGTTGTATTTGCTGTCTCCACGGAAGTTACAAAAACGAGGCTGAAAAGATGATGTGAAAATTAATGACATTTTTCTGCTCGTGCATGTTAATGCTTGGCAAGTAATAAACCCTTCGGAAGCCTTGAGAGCTTCTACCACCCGTGTGGGTGGCGTGGAGTTATTTCAGACATTTTTACTCTCCCTTATCACCTAATAGATGTGTTGGTTGATGTTGGTAGCATGCCTCTATAGTGACAAGTGTTGAAAGGAAGATGAAGAAACGGAGTAAATAGTTTCCAAGGCTTGTGATCTTTTTCTTTTCCAATTTGTGAGTTGTACAGATCTCTCAGCCTTGTGTTTGTGATTCAGAGGTGTACAGATGCTCCCGAGAAGGTTACCTTGTCTTGGCTCAGGTAGCAGTTGCTTTCAATTCAAGAAAAAATTTCTAATACAACTTTCCTTTGGGTTCATTTACACATATCACAGCAGTCTGGCTTTGTAGTGGCAAGACTGTTCTTAGTGTTATTTATAACAATTCTCAATGGTGAAATAAATAGAAATGACAAAAAGCTTTTTTTTCTCTTTATGGTGCTGGTATAGCAATGTCTCTACTGCGTCTTTATCAATTTATATTGGTTCTCTGAGATAAATAATAATTTATACCTCATACAAACTTAAAACTTAGCCAGAGTACTCTGAAAACACATAATAAGAATGATAACCTATTTTTTGAAGAAATTATCTTTGATTTCTTAATTCCATTAATGTTCTGGATATGGAAAATGCATTTGCAGGTACATGAAGTACCTGACTCGTGTCATTCCTTTGGATGTATTAGAGTCCTTAATGCCATAATCTAGAAAATTCTATAATCAAAACTTCTGCTCAGTTTATCCCCTGTACAATTTTGTGTCACAAAGCCTTGGTATTCTGAGAGAAAATTAACCAAACACTGACTAGGTTCAACCTTGCTTAGCTTGCAATACGGACACAGTAATGGGATGCAAGAGCGAATACAAATGCCTGTGGAGGAAAATGTGTCCATTAAACCTGCAAATTCAGTGTTGCTGGTCTTAAAAACGTTCAGGAAAAGGTAAAGAGTGTTTTGCTGAAAGATTGTTTTGGGAACTGTTTAACCTTTGACTGTTTCCAGCAATATTTAACTTCAGAGTGGAAAAATCAGTTTCATGTGTATTAAACACAGGTATTTCATTCAAATGCTGTTGATATATATCTTTTTTGATGTTGTTCGGATGACGCATTAGTCAGAAAATGCAGATGTGTGCCTTTCTATTTGTTTTAGGTAGTGTGGATGGAGTTCACAGAAGATGAACATGACAGACTGAACTAGAGGATGCCTTTTGTAAGAGGAGCTTCGAAGAGCTAACTGTGAGGATCATAACCAAGTTAGAACTGTGGAGGGGGCACAAAGTGTTTCTTCAAATTAAAACGTAAGTAATAGAAGTGGGTATTTCAGGAAAGGGGGGAGAGAGCATGGTCCTGAAAGTCTCAATGAGAAGAATAAAATTTCAAAGGACGTTGTTTCCAAGTACACCTGTGAATGCAGATGGGGAGTGCACTCACTGAAGGCAGCGATTTAGTGGTTGATAATTCAGGGATGAATTCCATCTGTTTTCTAGTGAATACAGCTCCGGACAGCACCTTTAGCTCTTGTTTGCTACAGAGTCCAACTTCCAGCCTTAAACATTCTGTGATTTTTGTGGGATTCTGAGTTGGAAGGGATCCATGCAGATCATCGGGGCCAACTCCTGACTGCATGCAGAACAACAGAACACTTAAACCACGTATGTAAGGGCGTTGTCCAAATGCTGCTTGAACACCAGCAGGCCTGGGGCCATCTCTACTTCCCTGGGGAGCCTGTGCCAGTGCCCGACCACCCTCTTGGTAAAGAACCTTTTCCTAACATCCAGCCTGAACCCTTCCTCACAGCTCCGTGCCGTTCCCTCCCTCCCCTCCATGAGGGAGCTGTAGGCCGCAGTGAGGTCTCCCCTCAGTCTTTTCTTCTCCAAGCTGAACAAACAAGTATCCTCAGCTGCTCCTCATAAGTCATGCCCTCTATTCCCTTGTCCTCTTCATGCATATATCCCATTTAATAGGCACTCACAAGAGGCTCATTCCAACCTCTGTGCAAGGCAGCTTTCTGAGCCCTGGAGGTATTCATGATACAAAGCAGGAGAGTTTTCACGTGGATGGGATTCTTAAGCTGTATGTATAATTAAGTTGGGATTATTTTTTATCACTCCACCCCTCTTTTCCCCACCCCAGTCTTTCAAGCCTTTGAAGAGAGGCCAGCCTTCTGGCGTGTCTGTCATAGTTCTCCTATTTCTGGAGTGCTTCCAGTGTCAGAGATTTCTGACAGGTTATAGAATTTTATCAAAACGGGACCACGAGGTGATCATATCAGCAGAAGGGCTGCATCTCTGCTCTTCTCCGTGTCACCAGAATAAAGCAGACACAAACATATATAGTCTCCAAGCTGGAAGATGGAACCTAAATTTGCTGGGATGGGCTGTCTTCCTCAGATGTGTACGTGGGAATGCGGATGTATTGTTTGAATGTGCATGAAAGCGTACGGTAAGTGTTTCAACTTTCTTTTGGTGCTGTATTGAAGCTGTCAAATGCTCTCAGTATGTTACAGCTGATGCAAGCTAAAGGAAGATCCAACTTATTTTTAAAGTTGTTTATTCGGAGCAGCCATGCACTGCTAAACTGTGACCAGCTATAAACACTGAGCACCCACCCCTAGCTGGATTGAAGTGCATATGGGTCCCTGTGTTCATCAGCTGGACGCTTTTTCTTCTATTCTGTAGGAAGACCCATTTGTACTTAATTTTTCTGCATTTTTTTTCTGCAACTGTGAGCAAAATAAACCATTTTCTACAATAGGTGTTTGAGCTGGTTGATTAAATCCCAGCTATTTCTGTTCTTTAAGGAATAGAAACAATTACGCTGATTTGTGTATGAGCTTTTCCAATACAGCACAATATTTAAGGCTTGACTGTGTGTTTCAACAAACTTGCTTCCTTTGTCATTAAGTGTAGAATTGAATTCATGTCTATAAGACTAAAACATTTATGACTGCCAACAAATACATCCCAGTCTTTCATGGGCTGATGTAGTTAAGGAATGCAGTATAACTTTTTATGATGGGAAGAGGAGAAGGCTCGTGGTTTGACTTAGATGATAGAAATTCGTAGTAGAGCAGGAAATTGGGCCTGTATTTTCCAAATCTTAGGCTAGTCATAATACGTTCATTTTTCCTTGTTTGATATAGAACTAAATGCCCGGTTATTGATTTTTTTTTTTTTGAGGGTAGTTAGGTTTTACTGTGAATAACTTTTAAAAATATTAATTCCTTGTGATTTTTTGTCTTTGGAATCCATTCTGGAGAGGCTAGTACAACAGTTAATTAGTTCTCTTGCTTCTAGTTATTGATTACTCAGACTGCTTTCAGTAATCTGTGTTTGGTTCAGTTTAACTGGTCCATTCCATTGCCTTATCTCTTGCCTTTGACTGACTGAGTATTTTATGTACCAATTATTTTTTTTCTCCAAATGGGTAATAATGCAGCCTCATTCTTAAGGGCTTAAGCTATAAAAACTTTGTGCATAAGCTGGTGAGTTAACTTTTGACCCCATTTTGGCTAACAGTAGCAACCATCAGCAGCTGGAGAACTTTATCTTTCCAGCGCAGCTTGTGGTGCTTACACAGTGTCAGATAAGAGCCGGAGGAATTCTGGATGGATATTGAGTTAGTGCTTTGCTTGCTACAGGGAAATCATTGCTGTAACTTTGTTTTTGGATTTTGTGCCTTGCTATTGGCCTTGCTGTGCCTCTGGTTGAGGGAACCCACCGAGCTCTGTCCTCAGGCCTGTGGCTGCCATCTCCATGTGTGTTTGGTTAGATCTGTCTCAAGTGGCTCCCTAACCCCACCCTTGAAGTCATCTGTGTGTATTTCAGACCTGCAATCCACCCTGCAAGGCCAGAAGGAGATGGGACAAATTAAAGGTCAGGCCCAGACACACACATTTCTCCCGGTGGAATTACAGGATGAAGCAAGTGGGGTGATGCGCGGCTAGACTTAGAGCGAGGAAACATCAAAGAGGTACTTCACACTGGTGTGGCAAGTGCAGGAAGTGACATACAGATAATAATTGCAAATTAGCATAGTGCTCCTAGGCATTTGGGTTGGAGCCTCTGCCTGCACCCAGTTGTACATCAGCAGACCCGACCGGATCAGCAGTCCTCGCTGTGACTGGGAGGACCTGGGGTCATTCCTCATTTACACGCTGTCTGAGGGGCGGTGGTTGCATTTAATCCTTCAACTTCTTTTGCATTAAAAACCTGGTAAGTTGGTGGAAGGAGGTTCTGAAAGGAAAAAAACAAACAAACAAAAACCAGGTGGCACCAAAGCTCATTGCAACTTCTTCCTGGCTTGCAGGAATTGAATCGGAATCGGTCTCTTTGTCTGGTCTGTGCGATCTGGGGGCAGACTGGAGGAGCACCTGAATTGTGCTGGGTCGCTGCCTGTGCCACTTACTGGTGCTGCTGCTGCTCTGTCACCTTCACAATTCGTGGGACTCAGACCCTCAGAACTGCAACAAAAACTAGATTTAAGCACGCTTGCCTTAAGTATTTATTGACTGAAGGAATGTGCGTGGGGAATATCATCAGTAGCGAGCACAATAATTACCCAAATGACTCCCCTGCTTGTTTTGCTATTAGATTACCTGTCCTTCAGGAGCCAAGGGTTTGAAGAGCGAGTGGCAGGAGGCAGACAGGGAGGGAGGAAAGCACTGTCTCTTGCAGCATGCTCTACCTTGTTAAAGCTATTTCCCTCTTGGTCTAAGCTATGTTGCTTTCTGCATCCAGTTTTCTATGGACATTGTTATGTTTTTCCAGTAAAGCACACAGATTTCTCTTGAATACACTGTATATTTGAGAACCTTTTGATGCAACATCCCTTTATACTGATAATAAAAATGATTTAAAGCATCAGCTAGGAGCGATTTGGGAATGTTGTGTCTCTTTTTTCCTGCTGCTGCTTTTGAATGCCTGAAGCCCATTCATGATAGTTAAGTGAGAGCACAGAATTGCAGCAAGAAAGTTCTCTTATTTCAAAAGACTGTTGAACTTCTTTTTTTCCTGTAGTAAAGTTTATTGCTTCCTATATGTTTGCGTGCTAGTACTAAAGGATAGCTTGCCACCTGCTGTGTAATTTAGTTCTGTAAAATTCTTCAGCTTATTCTCTAAAATTTGCTGGTTCATCTCACTTCCTAGCTTCCCAGCCAATTAACTTGTCCTGGCCCTTCTGTCCATATTTTTCTTTAATTGTCTTAATAAGGTTTCTTAATGCAGCCCATTCTGCATTTCTTTTCCCTGCTTTCCCTCCTCCTGCCTAACCTCTAGCTTTCAGTGCAATGATAATTAAGAGTCTGAAAGGATGTTCTTTTTGAGCCTTTCCATGTTTGGGGGATTTAATACTGTATATATGGAGCTCAGATGTAAAATGTGGCTCCAGGTTGACACTTGGAATACAAGATCTGAGTTGAAAAGGTTTCATTTATGTTCTTATTTTTTGTTTACATGCAGCTGTAAATCCTTGAAGTGGGTAATTAATTTTCTGTTTGTGTCAACTTCTGCATAATCCATGCAAGTAGTACATTAAAAGTGTCAGAATGGAAGTTACAAGCTGCGAGGTTCCCCCTCAAACTCTTTATTCCGCTGCTGATGTTCACAGAATACGTTCTAAGGAGTTGCTGGATGTGCAAGTAGGATATTTCATATGGATATTTCATATCTCAACCCACAATTTCTGGAAATCATCTCTAAAAAGACGCATTTCTAATCACTGGATAATTAGTGTATTGCATGACGTACATTACGAAAACGAATACAGTTAACAAAAGGAAATTTAGTATGCTATTAGCAGTAATGAACACCTAATTTTTCCTTCAGTTTAGGTATAAAACTGATTAGGTTGCAGTGTAGGGCATAAGTCAGTCTGTCTGTTTGCCTCTCTCTCCCTTTGTAATGTACCCAGGCTCATTTTAGAGGTTGCCTTTCCCTTGATTGCACAACACATACCGTGAACCAAAAAATGTGGAAGGGACAATAAAGATCAACAAAAGTCTACAGTTTCTATGAAAAAGGTTTATGTTTTTCAGCTTAGAAAAAGCACCAGCTGAATCAGAGGTGTGGCAGGCAACCAATAAATCATGGAAAACGTGGGGAAAGTAAACAGAGAATGGTTATTAATGGTTACCCGTGGTTTGTCGCAGTGCAGGGACCAGAGGCCATCAGGTGAAACGGGCAGCTCATTTCAAAGAGAGGGAGGGAAGTGCTTTTTCAAAAGGTACGTGCTTTAGTTTGCAGTTTATTGCCAGAGGATGTTGTGACTACCAGAGCTCTAGATCGGTTCCAAAAGGGACAACTCCTGGGTTGGTCAATTAACTAACCTGGGGACAGGCAGCTAAGCACCAAGGCAAGTACACCGTCACCGCCCCAGAAAGTCCCCAAAGTTTGCTATTAGTTTTTTTTCCTTTATATAATTTGCTTTTTTTTTCATTACTAGTGATTTATTTTTCTTTTGTCTTCACTTCCAATTTATCCTAAGACTGCTTTGATAACAACTGGCCTGCCTAAAATACACTTAAGGTTATACAAAGGATTTTCTGAGTGACCTTATGAAAAAGCACGTGGTGCCTTTGATTGTGAAGAGTTAGAATGTAAGCTCCTGTACACAAAAGGAGTAAGATTTCTGCTTTCCCTAGTGAATTGCTTTCTGTTTGGAGGGGAATAGTAGTAAGGCAAGTTTTCATCTGCATTCATTTGTGTGGATAGCTTGCTCGAATGGCATCGGATAGTTCTTGGAACTGGCCTATGCAGTATGGGAAGCACAATAAAGAGAAACAGCTACAATAAACTATTTATTCACCCTTTATGTTGAATTGTGCATCTGGTTTGGAATGCAGTTTGCAGACAGTGCACATATTCTACATGTGTTCCAGCTGGCAGGCTTTAGCAATAACCAGGGAAGTCAGTTTGCTGCAATGGGTGCAGGACTGGCTGTCTGCTCCGTTCTGAAAGGGGTATCAGCCCATGTGGAAATGGGTGGGAGGATCTGAATTTAGGAAAAATTAAATAAAGAAAGAAAAAAAAAGGCAGAGCATTTGTCTCCTGAGTTGGTGTATAGTCCACCCCTACCAGCTCATAAAGCTCTGGAGAAACTCTTCTGCAAAACCACTAATGGGATTTCAGGTATAGGAACTGGCTTCTAGAATACAATTCCTACTCTTATGTTTTTACTTGGGGTTGCCATAGCTGCCAGGGATGTATTGCTTTTAGCGAAGGGGGAATTTTGTCTGCTTGCTGTGCCGTTCTGTTTAGCATTACTGTTGATTTGCGAGCAGGAAATGAAGGAAACAGAAAATTTGCCAACTTTAATTTGTCAAATTAAATCCTGCGCATTACAGGCTATATGGAAAGTAAATAAATCTCCCCACCCACAGGCGTTCATATTGCTATTTGTTTCTGCACTTTCAGTTTATTTAAGAGTGTGTCATCTTTGGGGCAGATAAATGCAGAAGCAGAGAGCACTTTGTCTCTATTGTTCTCCTAATTGGATGAAAACTCTCTGTTGGGTCCGGCTATAAATTGCTTCCCACGTTGTTTTATTATTGCATTTATTATCGCATTGACTTGACTGAAAGGAGTAAGCAGGGAGGCTTTGAAATGTACATTCCTGTCTCTGCTCTGCAGGAATACCCAGAAGCTAAAGAGGATTTCTTCTCACTGAGCAGGACTTCAGAGACGTGAAGGTGGGGAAGACGTATTTGAAGGGAAATAACCTGACTGTGTGCTTGGAGAGTGTGAAGAAGAGCTGTAGAACAGGAGCAGTTCGGTCACATGAATTAGAAACTTAGATATCTCCTCTAGCAAGTGAGACAATTTCAGTGGCTTCCTAGGGAGTTAGGTGGGAGGTAAAGCAACAAGAAGTGGCCCTGGTTTGGTGCTGTCCCGACACAAATGACCAGAACTGGAAATGGATGGCTCCGTCTTGCACGCTGTTCCAGCTCAAAAATCTAGTGACTCTTTTGGGAAAAATACTATGAAAAAATGCTATGAAATGCTATGCGTCCATCCTTGAGAATGATGCAGAGCCCAGAAGTGGTGAGGTTTAGGATTTAGGGCTGCAGGATGGTGGAAGAGAGATCGCCTTCCATGCAGCGATGTGGTTCCTCTTCTAGTGCATGGGTGTTTGCAGGAAGGGCAATGTGAGAAACGCCACTAAATGAATTGTTTTCAACTAATTCTAATTAAATATTGCTTAGTACCAAGTTGTGTTGAGAGACGTGGAAACGTTGGTGCTCCTCCTCCCGAAATTTGAGCCTTGGAGGAAGAGGAGAGTGCAGCACTTGGGTTTGGTAGCTGAAGATACGGCGTGTATGTCAACACGGCTTTTGTGAGCCCGTGAAAGGGAGCTTTTTGTGTTTGCATTGCCCCTCCCCTCGAAACGAGGGCACATCACTTTTCTCTCACACGGCAGCAGAAAGCTGGCTGAGGCTGTTCACCTAACAAATCGTGCCAAACACTGCCTGGAAGTAACAGCCCTCAGCTACCAGGAACTGGGATTTGCTTCTTGCTCTTTTCAGGATTGGAGGTGCTGATGGGATGCAAATGCCACCTTATGCTAGGTCAGATCGGATCGGTCAGCGATTTGTTGTTTAATTGCTGAATATTGTTTGTTTAAATATTGTTCTGAATATTGTTTGTTTAAAGCATTTCAAAACAAACAAATGGCTCTTAAGCCTTTCATTGATTGAAGCTGTGTAAGGAATTAAAACATACTGTGTTAGTCCTCTGAGGAAAATAACGCCTTTTTCTCTTGGCCCCCTTTCATCTCTTGCTTTGCAGAGTTCACGTACCCTGGATCTATCTTCCAAGTTAATCTTTAGATAAGACAAAGCTGTAAAATGTGTGTAGATAACGTTCTGTCGTATATATTAATAGATTTCTAAAAGGCATCACCAAAAGTACTCTCCTCAGTGCCAACCCATCAGCTCACTCTTTGGTGGTCAACAAGGAGTGAAGAGTGAAGAGCCCAGGTAGAAGGGGCTGCAGAAACCAGGGTACCACCAACAGACAAGTGGGGTTTTCATCATGTCTTCTCCATTAGTGGCTGTATCTCAAGTAGAAAATACTAAATTACCAAGAAAAAAAAAAATCCTCACCTTCTGTCAAGAAGTACTCAAGCCATATTTGAAGCATCCATTCCTTCGGAGTGGTGTGGTCTTAACCTTCAAAGAGAAAACTGGGTGGAAATTGTGAGCACAATTAGAGCTCACCTACTGAGAACTACATCTGCAAGATGAGATCGTTGTGTCAGCTTGTGTAGGGCAGAATAATGGGAATTGCTCAAATACTTGATGGGTTTTTAGCAACTGCAAGCGTCTGCCTTAGTAATGTGGAAGAGTAACGTGGAGGAAAGGGGATTTTGGGCCCCAAACATTTTTCAGAAGTGTTATCAGTGACACTGATGATTAATTCTCTGCTCAGAACTAGTTATGTTGCAATGCTGCTCATGTTAGATGTGATGTATGACACTGGGCTGCAGTGCAGCTTTGTAAGCAATACGATTTCAAGCATGGTATTTTATACATTAACCGGATAGCTACCCAATAGTAGATACTGCATTGACCTGACAGTAATCAGAATTTCACTCTTTCCCTAATTCCAGCATGCCTGCAATGAAAATCAACCCTTTTTGTAGACATAAATACCATGTGGGCCATGGAAATAAACCTTGGAAAAGATTTCTGGTTTCAAAGTTGTATTTTTTTTTTTTTTTCAGTAAGGAGTTGAACGTGCTGCGTGCTGCAAGAGGAGAGGACCAAGGAGATCAGAAAGTTTCCAGTCTCAGGGATCACACAGCACCAGGAAGCTGATGTGAAAGTGAGACAAAGATAGTATCAGACGAGTAGCAGCACTATAAATTTCACACATTAAGCCTGCCAACATAAACCCATGGTTGACTCTGCGGCTGCGTGGGTTCCCCAACTGCAGCGCGGAGCAGTTGGTGCTGCTCTTTTACACAGGTGCAACCCCGTGGTGGAAGGGCACTGCTCCCCGTACCCCCACTGCTGAGAAGGGGAGGCAAAACAGCCCCTCTGGTGTTGGGTTATTGCAGAGGAGAGCACCTGAGGTTTCCGTGAGGTGTCCTGCCGTGGGAAGGTGAGGAACGCTGTGCCCTGAGCACAGCCCCTGATGATCAGTGTGGTACAACTACACCGAGCTACTGCGCCTTTTCTGCGTCTTCTTCAGCTCAGAATTTGTGTTAGTATATATGTGACACCAAACCCTTTGTAACCTGGGAGAATGGTGCAGCTGAGACTGGAGGAGAGGGCACGGACTGACATTTTTGTCCTCATTACTCTTCCCAAACAGCTGAAGACCAACAGCAGTGAGATAATGACCAGGAGTAAAGAAGGGCAGGCTGATGTCAGTGAATCTACCCCATACATCAGTGCTGACTTAAAAAAAAAAAAAGCTTTAGGTTTTCTTCCCAGGTTTATAAACTCAGCTGGTGCGTAGCTTAAATCTTAGCTTTAAGATACAGCTGAGCATGAAGCTCGTGAAAAATGGCCTTTGTGATGCAGAAAGTGTCGTACCTTCTGATTTGTCTGCTTCACCCATGCCTTCTTAGGTTCAAACAGATTATGAGGAATTTGAGATCTGAAATAGGGCTGCATGTAAACTCCTAGCTAGCTTTTCTCCTAGCTAAATATTTTCTGTGCAAATTTTGATTTTTAATTTGAAAAGGAAAGTAGCATTTATTTTCCATGTGGAAATCAAGTAGGTTCTCGTTTTTACTGCCTGGTGTGTTTTATGTTTTACAGTCTAGAAGGGCATCTGTAACTTTTTGACATATGTAGTTGTGAATATTGGGCATAGTTTGTGTTAAAATAGGATTTCCCCTGGAAAAGCGAAAAAGCATATCTCTGAGGTTGAATTTAACTCAGTGCATTTTCCATTTAATACACTACGGTGCTGTACCAAATATTCTGCAAAATTAATGTTGTTAAATGAATATTTGCAGAAGTGCTGTGAGGAGCTCAGCAAAAAGCCTAAAATGTTAGGTCAGCTTCAGTATCTACTGATGCTTTCTGGTTCCTGCGCTGCTGGTTATAATAAAATGGATGAACTGTGAGAAAAGCATAATTCTGTCAGTATTTTAAGCTTTGTTAAGGAGAAGGAAGGGGAAGGAGAAATGCAAAAGTGTGTTGTCATAGGTAGGCAAATTGTATGTGTACAAGATGGCAGCAGTTTTAAAACAAGTGTAGATCAGTCCTTTCATCTGATTTTACTGCAAGGAAAGTAAAAGCACTGCTTATTCCTCTAATCTCTTTTCTCTAGAGTAGTATTAAGTTCCCATTTCCAGTCTTGCACAGGTGGGAGAGAGGGATTTAAAACCATTTCAGATGTGATACATAGAAGTTGTCACAAGCTCGAGTGTGAAATGCATAGCTTAACAAAGTGCAGTTGTCTGAGGAAATTCTATATTTGCAGAAGGGAATAGGAAATTTATGTCTCATTAATGGATTTTTAGATAGCATAAATTGCTTTTCAAGGATGATTGAGGATTCTGAATTTTAAAATAAATGTCAGAGCTCAAAACTTGTCTTTGCTGAGCAGTTTTGTCTATAAAAGCAACGATATGTAACATGAATTGCAATGCAGCGTTCATTCTATGGATCTCCTTAGTATGAGCCTAAAAACAAACACCTGCTTTATCCTTGCAAATCCTTCACTTGAGTGGTATTGCTGAGATTTATCACATTAATTAGACATCAATTTTTTCAAACCCATTGCTGTTGCACACCTTGTGTCAGTACTCAGACACCTACATGTCTCAGAATGTGTTTGCATCACAGCTTCCCGTGCCAGCATTATACCCCAAGCTAAATGGTGTTGACGTTACCAGACCTGTATGTGTTTTATTTGTGTAAGACCTCAGATAAAGAACTCTATAATTTTTGGTAATTAAGACCAAATTTAATGCCAGACATGGTGAAGTGTGCTGTGGGTGAAGGTAAAGAAGCGGGTTTAAAATGATCTTGATGGCATAAATTCTATTTTGTCAGTGTTATTAGTTCCCAATATGTGTCAGGGTAACACAAAACCTCTTTTCCTGTGTTATTCTGTTCTAATGGTAACGTGCTACAAGGAAACTTCAGCTTCTTGGGTAAGGAAAGGTAGAACTTGTGTACCAAGCAGTTTTATTTTGCAGATCTGTAATAATATTTTGGGGCTTTTTAATCCTTTAAAATATTTCATATTTTTTTTCCTTTAAAAAAATTTATATTAAGTGTACTCTGCTTATTTACCACAGAAAATTAAGATTTTCTCTTAATCTTTCCACCTATTTATTCACTCCCTGGGTTTTGAAATGTAGTAAATGCTGGCATACAGATCAAATTAAGTGGTCTCTAGAGGAAAACATGAGAGTGGCAGTGTTCGTCTAGGACATGAGGGAGCCAAGGAGCTATTTTTCCCCTTTTAGGTAAGTCAGGGTGTCAGTTTTACCCTTTCTGACTTGAGGTAGGGAACACCTGATGATGTCAGGTGTTACAACTTTTGCAGCCCTTACCATACATACCTTTATGCCTATGTATGTCTAACTCCTGTGTCCTGAAGTGCTATTTAATAAGCTTTATGTAAGCATTCACAATTATCTAATAGCACCTGAAGATTGCTTACAAAATGACAGGAGGAAGTTTCATTTGCATTGCATATCTGATGTTAAATCTGCTAATCCTCCATCGGCTCTGCCAGGAAAAACAATGTAGACAGACTTGAATTTTATTAAAATCAGAAATCGAGCATGCTGCTTCCTACTCCTCCTTTACACGCTGCAAAATCAAGTGTCAAACCTTACAGAACACATCGGTTGATTCTGCCATTGTCTTCATGGGTTTCTTGAAATGTGTCTAGGTTGCAGGTTATTTACAGAGCCTATGCTAACAGCCCGTCCCTCTCAGGTCTTCCTCCCTCACCCCCTGAATGCTGTCTCCACGTTTTGTCTTGTTTACATAAGTTAATCTTCCATATAGTGACAGGTTTTGCCTTCATTAACGAGAGTTCCTAATTGTGCCTAATGAACTGTTTGCTCATACTCCGAGATAATGTTGTGTGAAAGCAGAGCAGAGATAAGAGGCTGTGAAGAAAATAAGCATTTTTAAGATTTTGGATGATATGAAAGCTATTATTTTTTATTTTTTTTTTCCAATATTTTCCCATTTTATTTGAAAATGGCTCCTGGTGCAGCTGTGTAACTACGGCTACTTCAAAGGACATCCATTATTTATTGGCCTGCTTAGCAAACAAGGACACCTTTGACTACAGCAAACTGTGAGGTCAATTTGCTGTGCCTCCCACCACCTGAAGACTAGCTTTTCTGTATTTATCTCCTCGAAAATTTTCCATTTGGCGTGAGTGTCCCTAGGGAAAGCAATAGGAACGTGGGGGAGAGGACAGGAGAGAGCCTGAGTCTGCAGAAAGCTGGCACACGTGTCCTTGTGCCTTTTATGTGCTACCCAGGTGCATCAGGTAAGGTTACAGCCCAGTTTCCCCATAAAGGCCATTTTTTTCCTCAATTGAGTAGAAAATGTAGTGAAGGGGATGAACTTTGCAACTACTGTGCACTGAAATGCATCAATGCCCTAGTCATTCCTACAGAGTAAATCTGAAAAAATTAAGCAATAAATGGGATTAATGTGAAAGTGAATGGCTGTATGGGGTCACACCAAGCACCTCACCGTCTTGTTTGGGTGCCAATCATGAGAAATCGATAGGCAGGATTAGGAAAACCTCGATGTAGGGTATGGCTGCAAGGATGTCCTCCACTTCTGCGGAAAAGGAGGCACTGCAAGAGCTGGCTAATTCAGTGGTGTGTAACTATGTTTTGTATTGTATGATTGAGGTGTTTTTGGTTTTGGTTCACCACGCGAGGGGTCTCCCCCGTGTGGGAAATGAAGATCCCTTGAGCTAACCTTTGTGCACCTCTAGATGTTATCTTTTCCTAAGGCTGGCTGTTTTCATGGCAGGAATAATTTTATAGAAATATGCTAATGGTGTAGTTTGCTTCTGGTACCTATTTAATTTTGTGATTACATCAACTTGAGCACCTCAACTCATCCAGAATAATAGTTGGAGTATTAAAGGGGTTTGGTGTGCCACAGTGATTCATTCTCTTGGTCAGAGCATTGACTCCTAATAAAAAAATAGGTTAAAGTGGAAGTGTGGGACTGGTAATATGGGGAATTATTGTCTAAAAAGATGTTGTCTGTGGAACTTGGAATGGGAATTCTCTGGGACAGTGGAAAAACGTCAAGTCATGATGTACGGGTTTGGGTCTCAACAAATTCAAAGCAGCATTAAGAGTAAGTGTACACTTGTAATGGTGGTGAGGCAAGTCAAGGGGGTTATAAACCATCTTCAGTCCTGTAAAATATCACTGTGCAACACTCATGCTTAGCTGGACAGAACTGTACCTATGTTTTACATTTATTTTTGGACTTTGCAGTGTTTTTAGGATTTGGGCTGTCGTTTTTGTGTTCCTATTTCAGTAAGGACTGAACTGTGGGGGACCTGTTTACTACATAGCTTGCTAATAACCTCAGTCTGGAGTCTGATGATCGTCTTCACTCCCTTTGCTGCTGCTTAGTGCTTCTATTTTGGTCACAGTGTGTGTTGAAAGATTTGATAGATATCTCTAGATTACGAAATATATGTTCGTCTGGTCCCACCCAGCTAATTGCCTGAAAAATATTTTTCCCTTGCAAAAAAAAAAAAAAAAAAGGTAAATGAAAAGTACACTTCCTCATGGAAGGACTCAGTAGGCTCATTGTTTCTCATTGTCTTTTATAAGACTGGGGTCACAGGAAGGAGGCAATCTGTACGTCTGTACTAGGACAGAGCTCATTCAGGTACTTCTTTGGGTCTTTTGTTAGAAACTCTGAAATATGGTAGTTTTTGTATCCTCATTTTTAATATGAATAAGACAAACAAACAGTAATTAAGCTGATTATTTCCTTTAGGACAGAATTTTGATGATCAGTTGCTGTTTGTTTTCCACAGGTTCTTTCTCTTAATTCTGCTCTAGATCCTGGGCTGTAGTTGGAAGAAATCTGGAGAATCCCCATAAAATAGTCCTGGAGGTGCACTGTAAGTAGAGGTAAGCTGTGATGTTCTCAGTATCTACTGAAATCTATCCAGAAAGCCGTGATTTAAAAAACAGATCCTAAACAGGACGGGTGAGCTCCCAAGGCATAAAGCTGAACTTTCTCTTGATTGCTTCATAGGCAAAAGTCTTTCAAGTAATTCCTGTATGCGTCAATTGAAAAACAGGAAAAAGAAGGAAGTCCTGTGATTTCTCTGCCGTGTCTTGTCAGTAACATTTTCATTTCAGTGTTGGGAACCGTTCAGAGCTTCCTGCATGGCCTAGCGTACGTCAACATGGTGCAGGGGGATGCAGAGAGATTTTTGAATGAATTCACCTGGCACCGCAAAGCAACGTCTCAGGTTTAGCGGGAGCCTCCTCTCAAGCTTGTTTATCCTGCTAGGAATTTGCATGGGCTGAGTGCCATTTAATATGATTCTACTTTTTAATATCTGAACTAGGTCCAGTATCACTACATTTCACCATACAAACTTGTCTGTCTGTGTGTGTGTGTATACATCTAAATATAAAACTGACCAAAAATTTAATGGAATTGTTCTTCTTCCCGGAAAAACCTTGCCAAAGAGCAAAAAGGGCCCGAAGAAATGCACAAAGCACACCCAAAATGTTTGTCTCATCTATCTGAATGTTCTATTTACAGTTCTCCAAAATGTGTGTGTTATCACCAAGTATCTTGCTTGACATTTCCTTGGTATGCAAAGGGAATAAACCTAATTTACACTCATGATTTTAAATGCCATGCCACTGATAAATGCACTTAGAATTAATTCAGTTGGTGTCGCTTAACTGAAGTCAACAGGCATACACTGATCTATTTCACTTAAGGAATTGGATCGGTTAAATCTTGGGTTCTAGGCTGTTCATGTTCAAAAAAAAAATATATATATATGTTCCCACAATCTGCATTTTGCTTTGTTTAATGGTGTGTAATTCTGTCTGATTCAAGTAGGACATAAAGGATCTCTGTCCTGATGTTGATTTTTAGGAATGCTTACATGGCATCTATCCATGAGACTGACATTGCTTGCAAGGACAAATAGATTAAAGAAATTATGTTCTTAAATTTGTGGAAACTTAACTACTTTGTACAGGATCTTGGCCAGCAGAAGGCAGTAACTGCTCAGCTTTGGATTGTTCATCATTGTTAATGAGGTAGCTTGCATTAGCCATCTTCCCAGTAATGATTTGCAGACTGAATTTTCAAGGTTTCAGACTTGGTTCGTAGGAAGTTTGTTGTTAATGTGCTCAGTTGTTTATGATACCCCCTAAACAACGTGTTCCCTTTCTGTCCTAGGCCTACGAGTTTTACTTTTCATGAACAACAACGTTCAGCATGTTGTTATTCTGTCACGCGCTGGTTGGAGCTTTTCTTCCATTCTTCGTCCTTTCAGGGAACTGGGTTTCAGCAAAGAACATCAACTTCTACAATGTGAGGCCTCCAGTAGACCGTAAGTAGACAGCTATGCTTTTCTTGTGTGTGCAATTGTAGCTTAATGTTTTAGTTGCCATATTCTTTCAGTCCTTTGTTTCTTACAGGATTTTCTTCTTCAGACATGAAATGCTAGATTTGAAAAATAAAACTATTGCTTTTTAATCCGTAGCGGTTTATTTTATTTCCAAGATTTTATGTGGACTGAATGAAAACGAACTGTTGCATGCATTGCTAAACTAAAGAATGCACCAGAGCAGTAGTTTTCACATTTTATATGCTTTTGTTATACTTTCTGTCTCTGAAATGACTTCCTACAGAAAACATTATGCAATGGATTTCTTCTAAATAATACAGAACAGGTGTCTTTGTCCTTTATCTTGTTGGGGTTTTTGTAAGGGAAAGAATAGGTATGCAGTCTGCAATTAATTCAAGCTGAAGGTAATTAAAAATGTTGTGAGACCTGTGAAGCCAGTTGTCACTAATAGCATCATGTTTTTGCCTCTTATCTAACATCAGAAGTATTCCCTATACCTTCTCTTAAGGGAGAACACTTTCTTGATACAGATCTAAAACACTCTGGACAGCTAGATACGCTAGGTACATATGTGCATCTAGGAAACTGCATCTCAAGTTCATCTGTATATGTATGTCATGTAAACAAGCTTTTAAAGTAGTCCTCTTGATCCCTTTGTCAAAGGGAATGAAATTTCCAAAGCTGGCGACCAAGATCTAAAGCTGCTTTTGAAGATGCAGTTTTTCATCAAAAGAATCAAAAGCCATTTCAATGCAGATTGTGTTTGTGTGTCTGTACAAACATACATGCAGATGTGTTATCGTGTACATACATATAAGATGCTCCCTCTTTCCTGCTTTTCCCACCAATGTTTAAATGGTGTTCTTGACTGTGAGAGAATGGAAAGAGGAGGAGGCATTTTAATGATCAGGCATAGCAAAAACAGTTAAAGATACGGAAACTTTCAACAAAACTTATTTCATAGGTTTTATTTATCTAGCAATGATGAATATGTAGGTGATTGTGGCCATTAAAAATATGTACATGCATGTAATGTGTCTGTGTGTGTGTGTGCAAACACAATACTATTTTAAATATTTGTTTTCTTTTTGTTTTAATTTGCCAACTTACTGTATTTTAATACTTTCAAAGCCACTCCATTTCCAAACAGTTTTAAGTGCTTTACCTGCGATAATGCGGTGGACAACTACAACTGTAACAGATGGGCTGAAGATAGATGGTGTCCCGAAAGTAAGTGTTTCTGCACGAAGGGGATTCTCCACCATAGTTGAATTTGTTTCTCCCTGCCTCAGCCATCTTGTAGAAGTCAAAGCGAAAAGGATTAACATACCAACACAGTGATGCCCTTATTAGTAATAATGAGTCATAAGATTTTTGCTGAGGGGAGTATTCTGACCATTTCAGAGTGCAAAGCAACAGTGCAAATATTATTTTATATATATATGTGTGTATATGTATATAGATCTATATTGCCATGCGCTTTCTAGGAATTACTTTTAAGGATGTTATTAAAACATTTAAGAATTGCCTTCCTTTTTGGTTTCCATCCTGAGATATGATTGTCACTGTAGGCTTGCTTGTGATAAGCAAGACCTGAATGTCTAGGGATCATACTTGTATGAGGGGATGATGGATACCGAGAAATGAATGGAAATATGCTTCCTCATTTTTCTTCACAGAGCTATTCATAGTAACAGTGGGAAAGGGGAAGAAATGAACTATTGGAATGAGGAAGCATGTCTGAAACAAAGAAAAAAAGAGTAGAGAAAGGAAGATAAATGTGTAGATTACAGTGCTAATTAAGTGATAGCAGCATTTCTGGAGGTTTGAAGGATCAGTTAAGCTTAAGATTTCATCAGTAATTAATTTCTTGCAAAATGGTGTTTTGATCAAGTTGAAAAATGGCTTTAGACAACCCAAATACGTCATTTTTATGGGAACATTTTGCTAAACCGTGTGAAGAGTTTTAACCCTGTAAAAGACTGCATACTGTAAGAAAATTAACATTTTAAAATTTATTTTGTAGGTACTCAGTACTGTCTGACAGTTCATCTCTTCACAGACCATGGGAAGAGTACGTCAGTCACCAAAAAATGTGCTACTGGAGAGGAGTGCCATTTTGTAGGCTGCCATCATCACAGAGAAAGCGGTCACACAGTAAGCACTGCTCTTGCTGTAGGAGCAGCACATTGGTTTTGAGGTTTCCATTTCACTTCTTGTTTTTTCCTCTGAGCTGAAGATGATGTGCCAAGATGTATTCTCCAGTACTTAGCAACAGAAATTAAATTTCACCACCTGAAGCGTAACTACCCCCTCCTTCCTCCTTTCCTCTTTGTGTGTGACAGCACGTAATAACCACTTCTAGAAAAGCACCTGAGCTTTCTGGTGCACTGACAGTGTGCATCCAATGTGTGCACCTTGGTTTCTGAGTAAGGCACCCAAGGAGGCTATGCAGCCTGCATTGATGCACCTGCGATGCTGCGGGTGTTCAGGATTTTTAGAAGTAAATCTGATCCCCTCTCTGATGCTCTACCTGCTAAAATACTGGGATTCACATTCCATGTTGGTTGTCTCCACAAGCGTGCTTGTAGGAACAGTGGAGTTTCCTTTTGTACATTGGCTCTGAAAAGACTTTGGTGGCTCTGAACAGCCATGCTTGGCTACCTTACTCAGGGAATTAATTTCCACAGTGGAAAGTCATCAAAAATAGGGTAAGACTAGCAAGAGGCTTGGAACATACTCTGTTTTGTTCTGCAGCCATGCCAAAAAAGAACTCCTGTGCTAAAGGAAAATATAAGATACAAAGAGCTGTGCCAAATAAACTGTGGAAGACAGAAGCCAAATGCTTTGTGACATTTATCAGAAGAATAATTTCCAAATGGGAGCCCATAAAGTACTATAAAGAAAACTCTAATTTGTTATGTAAGATTGATGGCAGAAATCTAGAAGAGGTAGCAGGTGATTTTCTGTAGCATAAAACCTGCTGAAATTATAAAAGAAAAAATCCTATTTACAGACCTATTAAACCAACATCATTGGAAAATTTTCTTGAAAAACTAGGCTGACACCATCCTGGTGCCTTTGCTATGATTAAGGATTGTAACACTGCTGCCTCATTTTTTAAGGGAGGTTGCAGTCTTGAGTCTTTCTGCTACTACTATATTCCTTATCTCACTTTGTAAAACTCTTGGTTTGTCCAGTTTCCTTCTTGCCCTGTGAGACTTTCAGTGGCACTGGCACGATCTGAAAAAAAAACACGTATTTTGATAAGTGTATATATTTTGATAATCTTTCACCTAGAATTCCTCACAACTGTGGAAATATGTGCAAGCTCCTTTTTCTTCAGTCATGTAAGGTATTTTTTTTAGATGTTAATATGCACTGCTAAAATACTTTGGGAATTGCAGGCAGTCCATGTTTTTGCAAAGCAATTAAATATCATAGAGTAGTTATTGAATTTTATGTAGTATTCAGATAGAAAAACACTGATATTTAAAAACTAAAATCTTTGGATAGGAGCTATTTTTGGCATGAAAGATTTCAGACTCCAAAGACGAAGCAGACAGCATCCATGTCAAATTGCCCCATGTCCTGTGATCTCCTTTTTCTCAACAGGAATGTGTTTCTTGCTGTGAAGGCATGATTTGCAACGTAGAGATCCCAACCAATCACACAAATGCAGTATTTGCTGTCTTGCACGCGCGGAGAACGTCGGATGGCAGCAGGTGGACAGTGAACATCGCAGTGCTTGTGTCAGTCGTGATGATTGCCTTGTCGTGATGCAGCATCCTCCTGTACCTGTGCTCGAGAGGGTTTGCCTTTCCGTGGGCTGGCAGAAATGGTAAGAAGATTCAGTATGTGCCAGGAGAAGCCACTGATACTTCTTAACTACATAAAATGTAAGAGGACAGTGGGAAGACACGTGTACATCGTGAAGTCCTGGGATATTTTAATGAAGATACTTCAAATGGTCTGCAGTATTTAAAAAGAAACAGACACAAATAGAAAAAAAAACAACACACAACCAACAGCAAACCCACTGGAGACTAGGCAGTGGGGTGAAATCAAGTTATTATAATTCACTATTTTATGTTGAAAAAGCATGTATGGTTGGTGTGTTTCTTGAACAGCGAAAAGTGTCTGTAGACAATCCCTTTCCTTGGTGAGATAAAAGGGAACTCAACGGACTGTGTGCCAACCTGTATCTTAATGGGAACTGGTTTTAAACTTTTCACTGTACATAAATAACATGGACTGTCTTGTCTTGATCCACAGGTGTGTGTAAGCTTATCTTGAGTTACGGTTTTCAGAGAAAACATACACAAGGGAATTTTTTCTATTTTGACCAGAGTTATAATTTCTATGGGAAGAAATGCAAAATAATACTTTAAGTCTCTTTTCTATACAATGGCTCACACTTGAATTATAAAACAATGTGAAATTGTGTAGAGTTTCTGTCCCAAAATCACGAGCTAGTTGAGCACCTAAAATGGAATTTTCATCTTCCCTCAATGGGATTATTTTCTTGCAGTAGAGTCCCACCCACCTCAGCTGCTCACCTCAGCTTCTGAATGCTTGTCTTTTTTTGTATTAATGCAGCAATAATACCATGGATTTCAAATTGCAGCTATTGTCAAGCAATAACTTTTTCATTAAAATTTTAAGTGTGCACTTGTTATAAATAAGGAGAGCACTCTGCTATGTTTGGTCTCCGTTTTCTGAAGATCCTCCCAGAAATGCTGTTTCCTTGCTGGATCAACTGGTAAGAAGTCAACACTGGATACCCCAGGCCTCTGGACATCCCTTTTATCTAGCATTGCCACCCACATTTGAAAAGTTTGGGCCAAGATTTTGTTTTTCATTACAGTATTGTGGTGTTTAATGCTGCATACTTGCATAGCTTGATTATTTGAATCCTGATCATTTAGATGACTGTTCGTCGGCTGGATAAACAGCTGCAAAGATGGCAAATAACAGAGTTTAGGTTACAGCTGGATGTACTAAACCCTTAATACTCTACCTTATGTTCTTATGTTATTTGCACTGCAAACTTGCTATCGTACAGACCAGCAGGTACAGATTTTAGATGATTTCTCTCAGTGTGGTTTTATACGATCCTAAATCCTAACACATTTTGGCTGCTCCTGTTGGCCTAATGGTGTTTCTTCCAAATCCCCACCATTTTCACAAATTTCCTCTGACAACCCTAATATATGGCAGCACAACTAAGGATTTGACCTAACAAGGTTGAAAAATTGCATTTCATTTTTTTTTCATTTTGTAAATAAAATTGTTATTCATTTATGACTATACTGGTATGATTATTCTGATCTTTTCTAGCAACTTTTTTCTCCTCTTAAATGAGATGGTTAATATTACAATAAACTGTTGGAGCATTTTTCAGAGAGGAGGGACTGTAAAAACTTAGTTTTACAAAGAGATGCAAAATTGATCTATGAAAAATTCAAGTAAATTCAAGTAACCCTAGAAACTGGGATTTTTAAGCATTAATATTGGCTTACGTATTAGCTCTTTTAAGTCACCAAATGTGTGTAAGCTAACAATTGAAAAAACAGTTTTTGTAATGATTTCTGTTTTGTGTATGTTGTAAAATGGCAACGCTTTTTAGATCTTATAAATATGTTTAAAAACCAGTCTGTGACTGTTGACAGGCAGTTGCAGAGTTACAGAGGTTGGATGGAAACGCTTTTTCCTTGCCAATGCACAATAATTCTTGCTGTCTAAGTCAAGGCTTTTCAGGCTGTGGGTTCTGATGATCAATGTTGTGCCACCCAACTTGCCAAGCTGCCAAGGATGTTCTGTGGAAATATTTCTTTTGTTCAAAGATCATCCCTGGGTAACATATCCATAGCATTAATCTTGGTGTCAGACATAGCTATGGACATAATTAAGATTGTTCCTTACTTTTCATCGTTAGATGTCATCTTTTTGCTACATGATCTACAGGTTTCTGGAGCTTTTCTCTTAGGGAAAATCATACCACGTTTTCTCTGTGCTCAACAGGGAGTCCCTGAGTTGAGCAGGATGTTTTGGGCCATGCTATTTTTCCCGTTTTTGCCTCTAAGCACTAGGTGCTTCCATAATTCCATTTCTGGGAATAATTACGGCAATCTTAACAAGGCCTCAAAGTGCCCTAGAGTCTTATCTGAGTTTACTGTAAATAACTTACAATAATCTAAGCACTGACACTTGTTTACACTGCAAATGCCATTTCAGAGCATTTGGGAGTGCCAGGAAGACCCTGGAAGGCAGCCCAAGGGGTGGGCTCAGGCACAGAGGAAATGGGTTTCAGGTTCTCTGCAACAGCCGGGAGACCTTTGGGGGCTGTGTGGATCAGTCGGCATTTCTCTTGGTCGACCTGTTTTATTTTCTTCTGTTTGCCAAACTGAAAAGTTAAGAAACTTGCTTATACTTTAAATGCTTTTACTTATTTGCTGAAGAATTGCCTAGGATAAAAATAAAATTAAGAATTCCACTGAAGTGGAATAGCCAAATATATAGCCAAAATAGAATGCTTGATTTTAATTACCCTTTTTTAAAGAAACTAACAATAAAGGCAGCAACCTGGGTTTATGAGAGGAACTGGTGTTGCCAAAGGTTTATTTTTTAATGTAACAGAATTCCAGAAGTTCAGGATATTCAAGATCAATTCCAGTCGTCTTGATACATCACTACCTTGGTTATTGCAAAGTTCAGGTCTGTTGTTTCTAGAAAGACAAATATGCAAAAGCTGTTAGCGCTGCACAGATAGGCTGAAGGAATATGGAATTTGACACTATCACATGTAACCTTTGCTGCTTTTTATTTACATAAAAATCTTTATGTTTCTGATTATGTTTCCGATTTATGTTTCTGACTTCGTAGGATAAGCAATGGGCATTAATGATTAAATAGTGCTAAAATTCATCACAGCACAAATTTTTGACACTCCTAATGCTCAGCTATGTAGGCAATCTTAATTTATGGTAGAATTTGTTTATTTTATTAAATAGATTGAAGTATCACCCATATTTTCTCTTCAGATATCTATCATTTAGGAACTTTCAAGAATATTATTTGAGAAAAATAATCTCTAGGGGCTCCATAATGTATGTATGCCACGCATCTCAGTTTTGATTAACATGTATTACTTGTTAATGCCTAAATTTGCCATGCAGCTTTGGAAGACCAATTTGTGTAAATGCAAGTCCATAACTACATGCAGAGCAGAAAAGTTTGTTAATGCTTCTGTGTACTCCCAGCCTCCAGCAGCAGGGTGCAAATGTTGCATTCTGCTCAGTAACGGGGCAGGGGGTTGTCTCTAAAGACAGCAGGCACTGGGTAAAAACCGTGGGTGCCAAACTCATGGGCATTCGTGGGCAAAATGATCCCTTTGTAGTGCCCTTAGAACCAATAAGAATCTTATTTTTGTTCACAAATAATGGTTTGTAAATCAATTCATGCAGTTGAGGAAAGATAAATGTTGTTTTGTGATGTATATGTATAATTTATTTTTATTTTTTACATTGCACTGGACAGTCTACAGAAGACTTATTTTTAAAAGTTTAAATACAGAAACCCTTCTCTATTCAGTGTTGGTTTGTACAGTACTTTCTTACTCTCTGCTGCTGTTTTAAATCTTCTCCAGAAGTGCCACTTAAATTAAAAGTACTGAAATATTTGCTGGTGGAAAAACTTTGTGGCAGAAGACAAAAAACCCATTTACTGCTTAAGAAAAACTGGACCAGGTATGAGGAAAGTTCTTTGACCCTTGTGAAAATAATTTTTTACTATTTAATTAGAAGAGTGTCGAAGAATTAACCATACTTTTACACTAGCCTCTTAAATTACCAGAAGAACTCTGAGGTCTAGCTACAGGTTAAAATTCCAAATCAAGGCAACAAACAGCACAGAGCCAGCTCTTTAAACAGGATAAAATGTTGATTTGGGATTTTATAGCAAGTAACTTAAAAGAAATTTAAAACTTCAAAGAAAAAGAGCTACAAAACCCCATTCTAGCTGTTCCCACAGAGCCTCTCTGTTTGCCTTGATGCTGGAAGGATCATGATGATGTTCGATTTGGACTCGATGATCTTGAGGTCTCTTCCAACCTAGAAATTCTGTGGAAGAAGCACTCGGTGTTGCAGCACATGCTGTTTGCAGGTGTTTCAGGTTGAGGAAACGGCCAGCAGCTGCAGGAGCAGGAGGAGCACGTTTCCTGCCCCTCTTCACCTGGGGATGCCGTTCCTGCCTTGTACCTCTTGTACTGCAGCAAGATAACCTGGAGCAGAAGCAGTTTGTAGAGCGCCTGAGGATCCTCCTGGTCCTCGCATCTCCTCCACTTTCGGCTTTTTTCTGTGAGGTGCAAAGCAGAAGAAGGTAGGGGTGCTGTTGTTGCTCACTGTAGATTTTGGGGTTCACAGATGCCTGTTGGATGAAGGGATGATGTAAGCCATTATTTTCTTGAGCAGTAGATATCTAAATACCTATATTTAGATAGATGTATAAATAGGTATTTCTGAACGTATAGTGATACTTTTGATTTTTCTTTCTCTTTTTTCCCTTGCTGAATGCAGGCAGCATGCAGATCACTAGGAAATCAGTCATCAACCACGTTTCTTTGGGTTCGTGTTTTTCTGTGATGGACTAGTATTTCCAGCCTGATGTGCAGTTTGTTCCTTCCTGTTTGATGTTGGGGGGGACAAAAAAGAAAATGCTGCCAAAGAACCCTATGATACATAAATGGCTTTGTGAGGTGTGCTTGGTAAAGCCTCATTTTTCATGATGTGGAAGGAATTTAAATGGAGTGGGGTGCTGGTCCATCGAAGCTGGTGGGAATTTTACCATGGTATCCAGTTAGCACTGGGAGCTGAACCAGGGTGTTTATGGCCATTGCTCACGTGGGGGTGTTGCTGTGCAATTAGGTAACTTGTATTTTTTGAGTAAATAACAGAAATATGTAGATTGACCTGCAATTTTATGCTGGAGATTGGCGTGGTGGTGGGCTGTCTGCTTGCTCTAAATGAAAGCCTAAATGTCATCCCTGATGAAATGCTGCAGCCTTTTGCATGGATCTGACATGGCTTTAAGAAATAACGAGAGTTAGCTGTAAGGATTACTCTAACACTGATGAGATTAATGCTGCAGGAAACGCTTAGGAGTTCAAAAGCTGGCTGGATTTCAGGACAGAAAATGGAGTAACCTGAAAGCTGAAAACTCCAGAAAATGTGACAGAAACGACGCTGTTCTTGGGGGTTAATTTGAAGATTTCCTCGTCATCTGTAGCTTGTAGCTGTCACCTTGCAGACTGATTCCTGCTGGAGGAAAGGCCAGCTCTCTTCTTGCCACATCCTTGTTGTCCTCCCAAGTTCTCCAGGCTTGGGCTCTGGCATCCCTGTGGCTCTGCAGAGGCCTTTTTCTGACATGTGTTCTCTGGGTGTGCTCTGTGATCCTTCTGGAAGGGAAATATTCAGTTTAATGAGGATTTTAGTTCCCGTGGAGCATGTGGGGACGCGTGCTTACCACCTCCCAGCCTTCCCAAACTTGTCAGACATCTGCCCCTTGCTGCTGTGGGGTCTTCATTTCCGTGCTGTGCCAAGCTGCCCCTCCTCCCCTTTGCCTTTCAGAGTGGTCTTTTTGGACGAAAACAGAGAAAAGGCCTGGGTTTTTTGTTTTGGTTTGTTTGTTATTGGTTTTGGCTGATTGGTTTTGAACTCGTTTTAGGGTGAAGGCAGCTGTGAAAAGCAGCGGGTGCCTCAGCCTGTCAAAGCTGTTTTAGGGGGCTAGGACATCAAAATGTAAACAGCTCGGGCAGTCAAAAGACAAAATCTCTGTTGAAAGGAATGGAGTATACGAGTCTTTTGGGCTTGCAGATATTTTTGTTAGAAGTTTAGTCTGCAGCTGGGGGTCATCAGAGAGATGAGGTAGGTAAGGTTACATTGTGGGGTGGGTGAATGCACCTATTGCAAACTCATCAGCTCTTGGGTAGGGCGTTAAAAGACCAAGTGCTCACAATCCCCTTTTGAAGGTTAGAGTAAGATGTAAGATAAAGTGTAAACATATGGAAAGATTTATTTTTAATTAAAAAAAAAAAAGGTTAAAAACAATGCTGATTTTTTTTTTGGTCATCATTTTCATAGTATTCTTATTCCATACTAATACGCATGGCATTTTCACAGGCTGACCTGGGACTTTTAAACTAATGTTGTGTACATGCTTGTAAACTAAAGGAGGTCCCGGGTGCTGTGTAAGATATCTCGCAGGGTCCCCTGCCTGCTGTTAGCCCCTGCTGGCCCAAAGCAGTCCAGTGTGGTCACTGCCCGTGTGCTCAGACCCCGTGCTCGTGCTGTGCTCTGTATCAGGAGTTATTTGAAAACTGATGCTGGTAAAGGTAAAACACAACTGCTCTACCCAAAAAATCTTATGGTGAGCTTGGTTAAGGTACTCCTTTTATTAGATATGGGTCAATTCTACCAAATAATGCAGCGTGCCCCCACCTGATCCCTATCAGCAGTGACTTGCCTGTGTAGGGATGCCTGGAGCTTCACTGGGAATGCTTCCCAGTCATTGCATGAGGAAAGTGTCCTCCAGTGATGCATTTCTTAAAGGTACTTTTTTCTTTTTAAGGCTTTGTCATTTTATAGAGGTGCTGAATATCAAGAGAAAATGATTATATTCTATCATCTCCCCATCAGCACCTTGTAAATGCTGCTGCTGCCCAGAGCAGTCCCTTCTGAGGGCCACGTGGGATAGCTTGTGCTCTCTTTGGACCTGGGGCCTCTCCAACTATCTCTGCTGCTTTGCCACCTAGGTTGTATGAAATGGATTTTCAATATAAGGCTTGGTGGTGCCTATGTAATGCTGAGATGGTTCACACCCAAGGACCCCAAAGATGCACAGATGAGTAAAATCCTTAAATGCAAATGGCAATGTTATTTGTATTTATCGTTATTTATTCTCAAAAGGGTGAATATTAAATGTTATCTTAGGATCGTTTCTTGGAGGTATTTTCCAACCTATACTAGAGGCAAGCATTTTTTAAGTATGGGATGCATTTCCTCTATTACCGAATCCACTCCACATTTCAAATATTTAGCACTGCAATCCCGTAACACCACCTGTTCATTTACTTTGCCTATTATCTGCTGATGAAGAGAGACCGCACTGATAACTGATTAAGAGCTGTGCTGAGTGTGAATGCTTTCCCTCTGTTTGAGGGGGCAGTCGCCATGCAGAGTTGGTCTGCTCATGCTGGCAGCAAACCAAATTTTTCAGAAATGCCTCATGGAGAACAGTTCATTAATGAGCTTTCCCTGCAGAGTCCCCCAAAGTGGGACGTGTTCCTCTGGTCTGGTGAAAGTTGTCAGCAAGAAGTAATTCCTGGAATTTTATTTTATTTTATATTTTTTTGTCAGAACAGATCCCTCTACAAAAGTGACTTCTGATTTTTTGGAAGGAAAATGATTTGGCCTTGGTGCAAAGTGTGGGACCTGAATTTGGGGGGAGAGGTGGGGAGGTGCTAGAGAAATTGTTGCAAAGCCTGCTGCCGTTCGTGGTTCACTTGTGTAGTGTTAGGTGGTGGTGGTGGGATTTGTCAGCGACAAGTAGTGCTGAGAATGAAATTTTTATTTTTTTCAAAAAAAAAAATAGTATGAAAAAGATTTGGATATTGTTCTTGATAAAATGCTGAACTAGGAAGTGAGTTATGCTCCGTATCTCCTCCACAGTTAATACTTTCCATAAAGCTGCAGGCCAGTGAAATCACTTTCAACCTTTTGAAGTTGTCAGGTTGGGATTTAGGGACCCCTTATTTGGTGCCTTAGGACTTCAGCTGCCTGACCCACAGGGACAACACACATCCAAATACACCCGCTCATCCGGGGAGCATCCCTTGGTTCAAGGGGCAGTTGCCGTGCCTGGTTAGCGTGTGCAAGTTGGCACTGGCTCAAATTTGTTTAAAAAAAATCTAAAAATCCTTCTCCTGGAAACCATATTTTATTAATGAGCTCTTCTATTGTGCTGTTATTCATTACTTCTTACCAGCTTTTCTTTAGTCTTTGTGTAATATCTCTTGATCCCCATGAGGAAATGAACTGCTGCTGTGCCCCAGAGTCGATAGGACCGACTGAACCGGAGGGGGGAAAATGGGACACTTCAGAAAACCACGTCAGGTTGTCAAGAACTGATGATGATCGTTACTTTCTTAAAACCAGAGCATCCTTCTCTACTCACTGTCCTTCAGCTCCTTACGGGAATTTCATCCCAAATTGCTCAGAACTACAAGTGGTGGCAGCTCAAAGGAGAGCTGGCTCTCTATCATTATTTTATTATAATCCCATAACTAAGCTTATTTGTGCATTTGCAAGCAAGTTTATAGGGTTCACTTCAAATTAATTTTTGTTTCCCTTATGTGTTTTCTGGGGGGGTCCCTTCCAACCCATGCTCAGGGAGCAATGGGTTTGGGGAGCGTTTGTTGTTCTCCACCTGTAATCCTGGAGGAGGAAAGTCTGGGGAAATGCTCCCCTTTGTAGGGCGACTGTAAAGGGCTACAGCGACATGAAATCCTGTTGGGAAGCTGATTATTACTGTGGCTGACAGAGGTAAGCACCGGGCTCTAAATCATTCCTGCCGTGGAGTGTTAATTATAGGTTAAACTCCTTGCGGGTGTTACATGACCTTGTAACTCTGGGTTTCGTGCATTGGTATTTCTGGTCCTTAACGCCTTGTAGGACAGCACCTTAGCCACTGGTCCCGTATAGAAAGAGCCCAGCAGGCTCTGTAGGAAACCTGTCTATTCCTCTGTGAAATAAGAGAACACCAAGTTTTGTTATGTGTGATTTTTCTATTTTAAAATAATTTATTTTTTTCCGGTCTGTGTTTTAATGGGATGCATTAGTGCAGTCAGGTTTAATAGGAATAATTTAAAACATTTTTTTTCTACCTTGCTTCACTTATGATGTACAGATATTTTGGGTGGGCTGTCTTCCATCACTGCAACTTTTCTGTTTTACTCTGTATTTTACACCAGAGTCGTTTGTATGCATTGTGTATGTGCTCTTTACACTTTGATGCTGTGTCATAGGGGCTGGATGGTATTTAAAGTGAATTATCTGGTGTTTACAAATTTAAGGTGACTTTAAAATTACTTTAACTCCAGACTTGAAAAGTTGGTATAAGTAAAAGTACCAAAAATAGAGATTCTGGTGAATAACTGACTCAAACTTTTTTGGGGAGAGTCTGTATGTGACATCTAGCATGGAAAATCTGTCAGTAACTGCAGCAGAGGTGCAAGACTTGGTTTTGATATTTTTTTTTCTTTTGCTGATAGTTGTGTTTATTTGTTTAATTGCATGCTGACCAAGGCATAGAGCCACTTGTGGGAATTAAAATGTCAAAGCAGTGTTTGTAGTGGATACCGCTGTGTGGCTGGGGTTGCTGGGGGTGTTGGCTTCTCTGATCCCCAAATATTTTGCTTTTGGTGACACTGCTGCACAGGTGAACTTCATCCCTCACCGAGAGGGTTCTCCATCTCTCTGAAACTTGCTTCTATTCACTCAGAAAATGCTTTGACAAGCCAAAGTTTATAAGCTTCTCTTTCAAAGTAATATAAATCTAATACAGCTCCTGCCATATCTGTCAAACATCAGCAGTGCTGGGGGCTTTAGCGGGATGACATGCAACTCACGATTTATTCCTTTCTGATTGTGAATCATTTCCAGAACTAGCTTTTTTCTGTTATTGCAGCTATAAATAAATATTCCATTTATACATGTAAGACCTGTCAAGAAATCCTAGACTTGGTCTTGACACGCAGCCACTCTACTTTTCTTCACGTAGACTATTAATAGTTTACTAATGAGCAAAGGCTCTAAATCACATTTGTAGGACTCCGATTTTCAGCAGCTGAAATGCTGCCTCCCCGCTAAATTGCGTTTTAAAAGTTTAATTTAAATGAGCATTAAGGTATTTGAGGACTGGCCAAGACCTTGTGCTGTTTCCCACTTGGCTGGCATGCTGCAAAAATATGCACAAGCAGACATGCATGCCTTGAAACACTTGGCAACTCTAAAGCATTGATTAAGATTTATGTCGTCTTTAACATATGTTTATATATCCCTTATGGACATAATTATAAGCAAATGCATTACATGAAGGAATTTAATTTTTTTTTTTCCCTAGTACAGCTTGCATGAAAGTCAGCCCGTCAGGTTTCCGTGCCGATGCCTGGCAGCAGAGATGTTTCAGCTTTATTTGAACTCACGGAGGTTTGAGAGAGCTCGTGGGACTGCCCCGTGGTGAGGGTGCTTTTGAGCTCTGTGAACATCGATGAAAAGTTTTGAGTTCATCTGAAATGTCACGATCAAGGGCTTTTGGAACTTCATTTCCTGGGCTTTATTATTTTTTTTTCCTGATTCAAAAGCTGTCTTTTCCTATAACCAGTTTTCCTGATAAATTTGTGCTGAAGTTCTTTGCGGTCAGCTAGGAAATGAATCTTCAGGAGAGGTTCTCCAGAGGGATGTTGGATCAATGCCTTGAGAGCCGTGGATGCTTTCTGCCTGTGGCTGCAAACCAGACTTTGAGGGGCTGGGCATTCTCCATGGAAAGACAGCTTCTCTTAATGGGGAGGACGGAAGGGAAGGTTGGTTTTGGTGGGCCCTAATTAGATCTGGAGCTGTTTTCTCTTTTCTGACCTGTGTATCCCCTAAAGTTTTCCTTACTCCCCCTTTTTGTTCCTCTTCTCCACCAGTTTGTGTTCCAGCACTTGGGAAAGGAGCTGATGTTTGAAGATGTCTCTCCTTGGATTAGCAGCAGAATAATATCTAAATAATCATTAAAGATGCTGGGTCAAAACAGAGTTTTCACACTTACAATCTACCCTCACCCTACAAAGGTTACCTTTTTGCAATTTCTTGCTCTTACAATTGAGTAGTGTGTACTTGCATTGAGTCCAGCAGTCTGTATAAAACAAGAGCGTTTGTCTTGCACCTCTGAGTGTCTGAGTGCAGTCACGGTGATCCTCCCAAATCCCACGTGTACCCCAGAAGACTTTAACTTGTCTGGGTTTTAAAGCGGTTCTGGGTCCTCGGATGACAGACGCCCTGGAAGCGATACTGCCCAGCTCTGCGTGCTGAGGTACAGCGCCTTTATACAAGTCCCTTTTCAAACTCTGGATAAAATCCTTACTTGAAAGCTCTTTGAGAAAGAGATTGCTATCTTATTTTTTTTCTTTCTTTAGTAAGTGAGAGCGTTTCTATCTGCTCTGCTTAAGAAGTGGCATTTCATTCATTTATCACCTTTATCTTTCCCATGGCCCTGTCCTGAGGGAGCTCCTGATTAATTCCAGCAGCGTGGAGGTCTCCCCTTCTCCCCTTCCCTAGTTTGCATTGCCTTGTGAGCATAACGTGCCTCTTTCATTTCCTTGTGTCACACTTCATGCTGTTGTCTCCATCCTGCCTGTTTAGCCTGCCACATTTAACCACCAGCCTTACAAGAAGTTGCTGAGAATTTATAGGTGGCTGTGGGCAAAGCAGGGCCCCTGAGGATAATGTACTGCTGGAAAGGTTGAACTCTTTGCTTGTAGAAGCCAAAAGCAAATGAAAGAGGACACCCCAATTTGTCGTGCTGGCCATCTGATAGTAGAAGCTTCCCCAAAAGATTGGCGTGGAGAAGGCGAGAAGCAGCAGCAGCGTGAGGCAACTTAGGGACACCTCCGGAGGATGAAAGAGCAATCTGGGATACTGAAAGCAGGGCAGCTCCGCAATTCATCACCTAACTGCGGGGTGTGAATGGGATGTGAAACCCAAAACCCTCGTGGCTGAGCTGATGCCTGCACTCAGCGTGGGCGCACGCATCCTGGCTATGCTGCCCCTGGACTTGGTGTTACGGGGACGCCTCCTGAGATGCCCTGACCCAAAAGGGATGGATGTCGAGAGCAAAGCCACGCCGTGTGTGAGGATTTTGGGGCTGCGTGGGTAACTGAGCCTTTTTTCCATCTGTCAGCAGCGCAATCTCAGCAGTCATTATGCCTGCGCTTCGCTGCAGCTGCTGTGGAATTTGCTGTCCTAAGGCAAGTAATTTCAGAGCTTCCTCAGCTGACCTCCAACCCTTGCTGCCATTAACTCCTGTAAATCTCTCTGGTATGAATCCAGTGCAGGTAGATGGCTGGAGATAGGAAAGTTGACTGAATTACGCTTCTTTTTTTTTTGAACTGAAAATAAATAAAAAATTGAGGGATTGGACCTCTGGAGGAAGATAATTGTTAGCAATATGGTTAAAAGAATAATCTGGTGGCTTAAAGTGTGTGATGGATTCAGAAGCTAATACACTAAGTAAAATAGTGCAGAAAAAAGTAATTCATTGGGGAATTGTTATAGTTATGATGAAAAGCTTCTGATGTTTAGGTTAGATAAAGCAGTCACCGATAAGACTCGGAAAATAAAGGTACAAAATGTTTTCATGCTCCCTGTAGGGAACACAAAAGATTTATGCCTAGGCACAGCTCCAGAGCTCAAGGAAGACCTTAAGGAAGAAGGGCATGGGTGAGGTGTGCAAGGTGGGGATGTGCTCTCCTCTTCGTGCCCCTGCTTCGGGAGGGGCACATTTTGGAAACCTCCTCAGACTGAAGGCCCTGTGTTGAAAGCACGCGTCTAAGATCTCCCCCAGCGTATCTTGCTTTTCATCAGCTCCAAGCAGAGTTTTACTCCACCATAACTTGCCCGAGGTGTTTCTGAGAGGTGATATCGGTCTCCCCTGGGAGAAGCAGCCCCCATTAACAGCCAGACAGCCTCTGGCTGATGCACGGGCCAGGCACCATCCCAGGCTCTTGCTGCGCCTTCCTCCACGTCTCTGCCTGGGCAGCAGTGGGATGGAGCCACCATCTGGGCTACAGGAGCAGCCATCGCTCTTTGCTCCCACACCTCATCTACTTTTATTTGTTGATTCCTTGAGGGATTCTGTGGCCTCTGTCTGCTTAAATTCTACCTGAAACCCACCAGAAGTCTCTGTAGGATGTCATTGTTAGGCTCCGTGGGCACTATTTCCATGGCATCTGCACCATGGGCCACGCTGACGAGTTGTGCTGGACACAAGGACTTCATTCTGTGGTTTGGGTTTGTTTTTTCTCCCCCCTGTCCAAAAGCTGGGGGTAAACATCTATCACAGAGGGAAGAATCCGCGTGGGGCCTGAGGCTAGAAACGCTCAGGTTTCCCTGTCAGATGCGGAGCGAAGCAGAAGGACCCTGACAAAAACAAACCTCCAGAAAACGAGCTGTTACGCAGGAAAATCCCTCCGCAGAAACCCCTCCGTTTCTGTGCTACGCTCGTGACTCGCTTTTATTTTTGAACTGGGAAGTTCCCCTATGGCACGTGTACGTGTGTGTGGTCTCCTGAAGGAGAGGAGCAGCAACAATCCCCGTGTCCCGTTTGTTTCTCCCAACTGCAAGCCATCAGCCTTGTTTTGTGTCGCTGGCTTTTACGAGACCTTATTAATTATTTATTAGTCGCTCTTACCCAGATCACCCAGTGCACGTGCACCGGAGCTGGCTGTACGTAGCCAGTGTCTTGCCCTGATACCATCCAGCGCTGTTCAAAACCCTGCTGCTCCCTGGGATTAACCAGTAATTGCACCTCTGGCACAGCTAATAAGGCCGAATGGGGAAAGGTTTGCACAGCATAAAGCACTGGGGGGAAAAAACACCGCACCGAGCCTTCTCAATGCTTGGGTTATTCCGATTCTCCTTCTGCAACTGCTCAGTATTTTTCCTTTCTATCCTCCTCTATAAAGTACCCAGCATGTGCCAGAGGTGTGTTACGAGGTTATGTTCGAAGGCACCTCGTGTTAGAAGGGTTTTAAAGTCGCTCCTCAGCAGAGCTTTTCAGAACATCTACATTCCTCAGGAATTTCAAAATGCACCTACGAGACCTTGCCAAAAATATCAAAGCCGATTTTTTTTTTAGCCTGGGCAAGGGGTTGTGAAGTCAGTAAGCGCACTTTTAAAATATTATCCACGAACAATAAGAATCGTAATCATTTCTATTGCTAATAAACCCCTGCGGTTTTATTGCTCTGGCTGCCAGAAATGCATTAAGGAACGGATTTTTGAGCGTTTTAATCACGAGGCTAATCCTGGCTGAATTCAAATAGGCGAACTAGCATGGACATGCAGCTCACGGTGCGAATACAGACAGGGTAATTTGTCTCACGTGAAACGCGGGGTCTTGGTGGTGTTTGTACCCCTCCCTCTGCTGAGCTGCTTGTCACCAGCCCTAACACAGAAGCATCGGGTCTGCCTGAAGACCCAGTAAAATGTGGTGTTAAGCATCTCTGTGCCCAGTCTTTTTTTCTGAATTTCATAGCTAAAGGTCAAATGATGCTGCACGACTAATATGGGGGCACTGGGATTGTCCCGATGGCTAGATAAGGTGACTGCCAGCACGCTGTGCTTCTGTTTTGTGCCTTATGAGGTAACTAAATGCGAGATGCAGTCTCCTCTGAAGCTCTTAAGTGCACAGCAATTACATAAAATTTGCTCAACTCTTTCTTGTACCCGCTGAAATCTAAGCGACGAAGAATGTGGCGTTGGACGTGCGGATTGATGGAGCCCTCGATAGGCGCAGCCGCTCAATAGCTCTGTGTTTCCTCGCTGCATTTCCTCAGTATTCCCATTGTTAGGGTGCACTTGATAAATGCAAGGAGATAATGCAAATGGAAGGCTGGGATAATTTGTTTATCTGAAGGAGAAATAGCTAGCAAAGGCAGCAGGACGCTGGTCAAAATTGGTATTTTTGGTTCTGAATAAAAGCTAAAGCGAAGCAATGTTAATTTTCTAGAGCGTTTTTTGGTATGTGGTTATGCTTTAAAAAAATAAACTTGATACTTGTTAGGAGGGGCAATGCAAAGACTGCTTATTTCCAGAAGTAATGTAACTCTAGCATTGGGAACTGATATGTATGTAACAATGGTGGTATTCAGGCTGGGCTTCGGAGATTGGAAACGAGCAGTTAAATAGTCCTGATTTTCTCAGACCCAGAAAGGTGGACTACGCTCTTTTCCCCATTTATATAGGGAAAGATATTGGGGGAAAAAATAAAATTGTGGGTTTTTTTCACCCCCAGGCAGAGAAGTTTTGTCCATTGCTGGCTGGCAGACTGTTTCATAAGCACTGGGAGTTCTGAAAATCAGGCACAGAAACCATATATAATGTACCTAGCAGTATGCTGGACCAAAATTTTGCTTCTGCTGACCTCATCTAAGCTGCCTATTGGTGTTAATCTTTTAAATTTTATATATATGTGTGTGTATTCAGTAAAATACTAGAGAGAGAGATGGTCAAAGTCAGCATCCACAGCAACAGGTAGCTTTTGGAGAACCATTTTGGAGCTGGTACCATAGGAAAGCCCTGACTGAACGCAACGAGGTTTATGTTTATAGTTTATCCTTTGCATCTGTCTTTCTAGGGCTAAAAGCTCAATCCCCGATTCGGTGTGGCTTTGAGCCATCTCAAACAGTGTTCAGCATGTTCTGTTTGGTTCAGTCCTGTCTGATGTTTGCTCATCGTGCCTTCAGACTCTGCTCTTCATGCATAGTTTTCCCTTGTTCCTCACAGAGCAAGTACCTGCCCAGGCCTATGTCTACACACCTGATGGGTTTAGCTTCACCTTCTTTCACTTTGCTCCTGTTTGCATTAACTTATCAGCTAACGCTACAACTTCACTTATAAGGAAGGGAAAATTCCCCTTTCTGATATTCTCTTCCTGAGAATCTGGGGTTTATAATCATCCCCCTTCAAAACACTGAACTGGGCAAAGAAGGGTTCCCAGTTTTACAGGCAGGGTGAAGTAGGACGTGTCTATAAGAAGCTGTAGATCTCCTGTTCTATGCCCTTGCTTTCCCTCTTGTTTCCTGCCCAGTGCCCCCAAATCCTTCTTGTTTTCTGAGGAAACCTGTTGCAGGTTGCTGTATTCACCACCCAGGTAGGTCTGGGTACCGCATCCAACAGCGTAGCCCCCATGAGAGAAGTTTGACCTGGGGAGGCAAAAGCAGGGCACAGGTGCATTCAGAAATGTCAGAAAACCTATGTATGGAGCTGTAGGAGCACAAAGGCACCGAGCAAAGGCTGGAAGAAAAGGGCCTGAGCTGACAGCTGCATTCTTGGCTCGCTGCTGGAGAGCACGGGGCTGTCGCACGGCTCCCCAGCACGGAGCCAGCACAGCTGGGAGCTGCAGCTTCTGAATCACGAGGGGCTGGAGGAGAAAAGATCAGAGAATTGTAGAACAGCTTGGGTTGGAAGGGACCTTAAAGATCACCTAGTTCTGCCCCCCAAGGTGCCATGTGGGGCAGAGGGTTAAAATATGACCCCTTTAAAGGAGATGAGATTTTCCATCAATGCTGTGGTTTAAGTATGGGCGAGGTATTGGTGTCTATCTTATTGCTGTTGAGAAATTGTGGTGAACCTTCTCTTTACCACACTGCTTGGAAAACAAGGACCCAAACTGATCCATGCATACGGCCTGGTGGAGAGGATGCTATCCTGAGCCAGTTAGATGCCTTGGTTATATCAGTCTTGCACAGGTTGCCAAATCTTTGGGTGGTTCAGAACAGTCCAGGACAATGTGCAAGAGCCTGCCAGCAGCAGAGGGATGTTCCTGTTTCCTGGGGAATCTCTGTATCTGAACAAAGCATCCCTGCAGCTATGATGAAAATACCTTCTCCTAAGCCAGTGCTGTGTAAGGAGGTTCATTGTGCATGGAAAAGCTGGCCGTGCTTGGGCAGGAGAGGTCTCCTGCTTTGCCTCGAGCTGTTTTCAGAGATTCCAGCTCTGTGTGATCAATGTGTCTGGCTTTTGGCGCAGCCCAGGATAGCTGTCAGCATGCAACACAGGGGCTGGGGTGTAAACTCACTGCTGCTTGTAGCAGAAACCGGAGCTTTTGTATAGAGAACGCGACACACAGTGAGGTGTGGGAGGGAAAAAAAATCTGATAATGGGATGAGATGAAATACTGTTTCCTGGGAACGCCTTTTTCCTTCTATACACAGCTTTTGGGCTCTAACGTCTGGAAAAAGGAAGGTCAGCTGGGGACAGGGAGGCCATGAACATCTTCCCCGTATAACACCTTGCCATAGGAGCCAGTGGGTTTGTGTTTTAAGACCAGATTTGGGCAGGATCTAGCTTTACAGAACATGCTTTTGTCATAGCCTAATTTATAACAAAAAGGAAAGAAAAAAAAAACTCTTTGAAAGTTCAGAGGCAATAATCTTTTTCAGCAGGCTTCTGGAGCTTAGCCATTTCAGCACTCATCAAAAATCTCCAGCTGGAGATCAGCAGGTACCAGCTCAGACACCAGCAGGCTGACAAAGATTTTCGATTTGCATGTACAAATACATGCGTTGGTCTGTAGGGCTGAGGTCAGTGTGGCACTTCTGCAGTGATGCATTTGGTTGTGGGGCAGCCTGTCCTTGTCTTGAGGATTTATGCTTTGCTCTTGCTGAAGTCTGGGAAAATGCCCATTAGCTTTTAGCCCAGGAGAATTGGATTAATTATGAAATTTTCAAAGTATACTTTAATAAATTTCTCCATTAATATAATTTCATCCTTGTCATTAATCATGTCACATTAGCAAAGTATGCTCTTGACTTGAAGGAATTTTGTTTTACATTTCCCCTCTCCCCAAAATTTCTGCTATAAATAAATCTTAAAGACAGTTATGCTCTTTCCAGCTTTTCAGATTAACAAGATAAAGTGTTTGCTGATGAATTGCAAAAACGAGTTGGAGCTCTCGAGCACTACTTGGAGGCTCCCACACCTATGGAAAGGGGACAGACTGATCATTGCAAAGCTTAGCTGTGTCCGAGCAGCGAGAGGAGCAGATGTTCCTCATGGCATGCAGAGGATGCTCCCATGACATCCTGGTGTCCATGCAGTAGGGCACAGCTGCAGTCACCTCCTAGCAGGTGTTGCTGCCGTGCTATCACAACAAAGACCTGAACCATTTTTTTGCAGCCTTTGCTTCACGTGAGCTGGATGAAAGGAGTACCTCAGCCTTCCAACTCCCATCTCCAGGTGACTCTTTTAGAGAGACGTAATTATTTCAGCCCATTCTCTTTAGGTTTTGCATTTTGTGAATGTTTGCTATTATTGCACGTTGCTGTTCGGTATATTGGGGACCTTGAGAAGTTTCAGCTGGATGGGTGCGAAGGCAACTCCGCTCCTTGTGTTTCTCAGGGGTCCTCATCTAACCGGGACTGCAGGACTTCACTGAGGACAAGGAAAGCTTTGCCTGTGCTTCACTTCTCTGTTAGATTTTTGCTCCTGTCTGGCTTGAGTAGCTTTTGCTGTGGTGGGAAGTGTTTTAATGCTCAACCCAGCTACCGTGAGCTGGCTGAACAGATCATCGCTGGGTGATCTTTGAACTTGGCCTTTTGTTCTGTCAGAAGATGTCCTTAGGTCAAATAGCTCCCGTTCATTTGATCTTCCTCAGTAGGTCATGGGTTTTAGACCTCCGTTCCTACGCTCTGCAGGAACATGCTCTATTCTGTGTAACGCATTTCACAGGTTTCCTTCAAGAAACCACACCGGCTGGTTTAGCCATGATATCTGGCTGCTCTGAGCAGAGCCGATGGCATCTTGTGGTCGTGCTGTGGGGACCCCACGTAGGTTTTGGGCCATCTGGGCCAAGCTGTGAGTGCATCTGCTTCTGAGGTGCCCCATGCCCAAGAGAGCCCATGCTCAGCCCTCCTCCCTCACAAAATGGCGGCCGCGGTGGCCTCGCCTCCTCACCGCTCAAAATGGCGCTGGGGCGACTGCTTCTACCACAGTCCTGCCTGGCCACCTGGCGCGTTGGTTCCGTGACAACCTATGGCTTTGTGTCATTTCCAGTGCTTAATCCGTAGCTTGGTTCTTTTCCTTCGCAAAATCCTTCCACTTTATTTTGTGGTTACCTCGTAGTGCAGAAGCACTAACTGTGAGCGTTGCTTTTGTCGTCGTTGCCCGGGGTGTGAGGCCAACCAGCCCCGCTGGCTGTCGCTGTGTCCCTCGGTACCTCCTGACCTCGCAGCATGGGTAACCAGGTCCTCGGTTTCTCAGGACCACAACGGGAGCCTTTCTCCCCCTCCAGCTGCACGTCCAGATAACCCACTAATGAGTCTGCTCCTGGTGCCAGCTGGACTGGATCCCACTCTGAAACTATTTTAAGCGTACGTGTATATTTAAGCATGTGAGTAGCCCCACTTGAATTCAATTCACTTTTGGGGACTGGGCCGTGGTAGAAGAGCTGGAGAGCTTTGTGGTGGTGAATGAGGCATTCACGTCCTTGTTGCGATACTCTTTTGATGAATGTGCTTGGCTTTCCCAGCAGCGTGAGCCATAGCTGCTGCTGGCTGTCGGAGCATTAATTATCCCTGAACAGCGCGTTTGTCTCTGCTGTGTGCTGTGTGAAACTACGTAATCTCCATGATGAAAACTTCTGTAATGAAAATAGACCAAAGATGATCAGTTGTCGCTATGCTATTTTAAGAACAGACTCTTTTAAGTGATATCTAATGAACTTGAATTATATGATGAAAATAAAGCGTGCACCTCCCATTGATTTCTCTCCCACTGAAGCAATGTATCTTACTCAATATGTGATATAACAGAGATTTGAAGAAAGAAAAAAAAAATCAATACTCTAGGAAAAAACGCACAAGATCATTTTATATTTTAAAAGATACTCCTATATTTGAGCAATATGAAAGCCTTTGGGAAGCAGCATTTAGTGGCCTGCTTCCAGCACACCGTGCAGCCCTAGGATGAGGGCTGGAGTCCTGTGGCGTTCCCCAGTCCTGCAGTTTGGGGAGCATTGGCTGCCTGGTTCCTGTGGTTGTGTTGTTTGTGGTAGATCTCATCATGTATTTGCCACTCGCTCTGGATCCCTGCCTCCCCCAGGTGAGGGCATTTGTCTTCATGCTGATGCAATTTTACAGCTCTCTTCTCATTCCTGCAGGGAACCAGACTGCTTGGCTCCACGGCTGTTAGCATAAACTGTTTGTGGAGAGGTAAACAGATAGAAGTTGTGGTTGTTTCTCAGGTTTGTAATAAATCCTTCAAAAATATTGCTTCTTCCCCCGTTAGATAAGAAGAATCATAGGTACAGTTCTAATACTATGATCTAACCTAAAGTTTCCCTAGAAATTGCTATTACTAATTTAGTACAAAAAAAACCACAAAGTTACTTGATGATACGTGGTAGCATTCCTGGATGGTTTTCCATTTCCTTTGCTTATAGTTAATAACAGTAATGAAAATAACCAGAAATGCTCTTCTCAGCCCAGAGATGCCATCAGAGCACGAGAGAAACACAGCTGGGATTTTGTAGCTCAGCATCTCCTAGGCTCTTTCATTCCAGCTCACCATGAGAGCAAAATAACCGCATCAAATAACTGGCCATCTCTACATTCAAATCCTCAAAGTTTATCTCATCCTCTCTCATAAGGATTCCTTTTAGCCAGCTTGGGAGCAGCTTAAAAGAAAATTAAGAAAACAAAGATGGAATCGTGGAGTGACATATCATAATGAGACCTTTCAGTCTCTCCGAACTTTCTCATTAACTTGCACCGAATGCAGACTTTAAAATTACAAAAGGATTTTCTCTCATAGCCCATAAATAGTCTGTGCTTAGAATATACCACATTGTCTCAATCTTTTTGGCTTATTCCCAAAGCAGCTTCTTTTGGCATGCTACAGTTGATGGGAATGATATTGTAGGAAGAACAAAGTACAGTTTTTCCAAAGGAAATGATAAATCTGCTGTGGGCTTTCAAAGCAAGCTAACATAATCATCAAGTGATTTTTCTTTTTTTTCTTTCTCTTTTTTTTTTCCCCCCTCAGGAACGTAGGAAGAATACGGATGTTATTTTGGACCATTAACATCTTAACTATAAAGACATGTAAAGTATTCCCCAATGGCTTCTCCCCTCTTCTTTTGTTTATTTTTCTTATTTTATAAAACTAAAAGCTTTTTTTTAACCTTGTGTATAAAACATATGGCAACATCACACCGCAGTTCTGCCAAACTGCCACTTAACATGAACAATTACTTTTTCCCTCTGCAGAATCTTTTTTTTTTTTTTTTAATCAGTTTGTCCTTCCCACATTTCTCACTTTATCTCCTTAATGTATAAAGCCAAAGAAGACACCTTGCTGAAAAGCAACTCCATCTGTACAGTGCAGGCAGCAGGTGCTACGGTTAGGTTGCTGATAGTAGATATCCTCAACCCATCACAGTAATTTTGATGTAGAAGCAAGAGAGGCAAAATAAATAAATTTTTTGCATGCTTTTCAGCCCAATAAAACAAGAAAGACTAAAGTTGGTGGGAGTCTGGCATTAATTCAGCTTCAGTGGGCATTGGATCAGGTGCTTAATAGCATCAGATGTCGAGCTTCCAGCCAAACAAGGGCTCTCTGCTCTGGGGCACTGAGCAGCCCAAATGGTCCTAAGGAAGGCTGGAGCTGTCTCTGAACCAAAAGATTGTGTGTGTGATGCTGGCAAAGGTCTCAGGATATTTCTGCCATTCCCAGAATCTGGCAAAATCTGTAAGGGAGAAATTGCACATCGGTCTCTTCCTGGTCTTGGAGTCGGAGAGGAAACGTGGCAAAAGTCCACGTGCTGCTTGAGCAGCTTTCTGAACAGGCACCAGAGGAGTGACATAATGGTATTTTTCAGTATCACAGACAAGCGGGCAGAGGCTGGAGTTCAACGTGCTGTTATTTGTGCTGCCACAGAGCTGCTTTCTCTGCCCAGCTCGTTCGTGCAGCCTGACACCATTTCCGTGGAAGGGGGTGTCAGCCTATTTGGGTGTGATTTGGGCTATTTCTTCCTCATCGTGTTGGCACCGCTCCCTTGTGCCTTCTGCTGCTTGTCTCTGCACTTAAAGATTTTTTTTTTTTTTTTCCTGAGATAAGCTTGATGTTTTAGTCCCTTTTGGTGTTTTGTCATATTTTCTTTATTTTTTTTTTTTTCATTCTATCTTGGTTGTACTCTTTACCTAGTTCTGTCGGAGAGCTGAGAACTTGCATACAGGTATTTTCCTTACAATGAATGAGGATCCAAGTCTCATTCATAATCAGCTATGATTATCGAAATTTATTGGGAATCTTCCAATGATTTTTTCCCTTCCTAAAAAATCCCCAACGAAATGACCATGAAGCTCGGATGTTTTGTATCTGAATATTTTGGTGCATTGGCAAATGGAGAGGTGCTCCTGGTGTGGCTTTTACCCAGCGAGGCTGCACTTGGTGTCAGAGGCAATTTCCTGGTTTTGCTTGCTCCTCTGGTAGGAAGGGTGGGGAAAAAAGTAAAAGAATTATTTGGTCATTTTGTGAAAAGTTGGGTTATTTACCACACAACTTTAATGTTCCCTAGGGCATGGTGTATATATACGCACAAATTTTATCTGCAATGAGTAACTGTAGCCCCTACACTCTTTTTTAAGATTTGGGGAAGAAACAGAGATGCATGGGTTGGGGGAATAGGGAGCTGCTGTTTTTTCCATAAAGTGGTTTTTGTAATTTACCAAAATCCACCAGAAAGCATCAAGCAGCCACAAGATCTGGCAGCACTACTGGAGGTAATATGTGCACAGAGGCATGGGAAGGAGGTAGGTGGCGTGGCTGTCTTCTGGAAACACGTGGCTTCGCGTGCAGAGGAAATGGCCTTAGTGCAATCTGACTGGTGGAAACAGATTTGTTTGCGTTACCCAAAACCATAAGAAATCTTACCTGCTTGCTGTTTGTTTTTATAATGTATCCATAAAAGGTTTTCAGAATGCTTTAATTTCTTTGTGCGGTGTTATTTCTGTACTCAGAAACTCTGGACTTCCCAAGATACTATCAAGTAAAGGTGCTGAATTTAATTTCCTTACCCAGTCCCAGGAGATGCTGCATTTTGCTTTCTGCTTTCTCCTTGTCCTCTGGGCAGGATGTGGCATTTACCTTCGCCGAGCAGGTCGCAGGGGTGTTACTGCTTCCTTACACAGATCCCAGAGAAAGAGTTAACAGAGTGCAGGCTATCAGGTTCATTTCCAATTTTCCACCAGACTGTAATGAAACGCCACGATGCGTCAAACCAAACCTCTCATTAGCCTCCCCATTAGTTTTCACTCTGGTAAATAAACCAATGGTGCAACTGGCAGTTAATAATAGGCAATCAGGGTCTCTTTCACGGCTGCCACTTTTCTCCTTGCTCTTTGCAGAAAAGGCACTGCGTGGAAAAAAAAATTTACCTTTTTATTCGCCTCATTATTTTTTTTTAATCCTTTATTTCATGGTGCTGTGCTCTGCAGGGCTGCCAGTGATGCAGAAGGGCTCTGTGCACGGAGCACACTGGGGCAGGCAGGATGCTGTGCACCGGCCCCGGGATCGATGGATGCTGCCAGAAATCTCCTCCTGGTGCCAACACCCAGCGGCCAACTAAAACACGCCGTAAGTCGTCTGCTGAAATGTTGTTCTTGGTGGGTACAGCGGGCACGCTTAGACCGTGGCTGATAAAACGAGGAGCACGTTGTTAAAACATGCCACACACCTTCTGCTAGGAAGTACGAGCTTAGGTAGCTGCGTGTGAGTGCTGTGGTGCTTACTGTTTGGCTAGAGCTTCTGTGTGGTATTTCGTAGTGAATTGGCTTTTTTGTCCTTTTTTTAATTATATCTAACTTGCATTGTTCACGGCCTGAAACCTGAAAAGAAGTTTTTTGGGTATGCTTATACTTTTAAGCATGCACTGGCTAAGTAATGTGATTTCTAGCCAGGTAGAGGATGGCAGCTCCTTGAGGATATAGGGATTTTCTGTCACTTAACAATAGACTTCAATCTTCCGTTATCCCTTGTCCTTGAAGCAGCCCTTCTTTTCCATCCAATTGTTCTTTACATGCCCATCTTTCTGTAAACCTGACCTCCTTCTTTCTTGCACTTTTTTTTAAGTATTGTTTTTTATTAAACCAGACAGGTGGTACGTTTGGTTCTATTAAGTCATGGTCTCTCAAAGGGATGCCCAAAAGCAATCGTATTCGAGAGCTGCCATGGCAAACGAAGGGATGCTGAGCTGGTGTGAACTCCTGTTCTTTTTGAGATTCCTTCGCAGGTTGGGGTACGAGATTGGGTGCACTTAGATCCAATAATGGACCACGTTTTTCTCTCTCTTCAAGTGATATTTAAACCAAGTCCCATGGAAGACACGGGAGTGCCCAATGTGCCTTGCTCTCCATAAAATGCTGCAGTTTAATAGTGTGTTCCTAGTTTTAATACCAATAAAGTAATTTCTACCAGCAGAGACCAGTCATACCATAGATCTTTACCTTAATTTCCTCCATAGGACTGGAGAACTTGGTCTTGCTGTTATCACAGAAAAGCGCCTGTGACTGCTCATTCAGTCTTGGCTCTGGATAGCTGGTGAACATCATTAAATGCTGTTAATTATGTCACTAATTGCATGTGAAATCAAGGACTGTTTGGGCATGCAGGAGCCTAAGCCTTATATTTTAAACATGACTATAAAATACCGATAGCTTAGAATATGTCTCCAAGCTATTGTCCTTGAATCTTCCACCAAACAAGATGAGCACAATTAATCTTGCATAAAGTTTGGCAATGCAGCACTGTCAGTCTTGTTCCTGTGGCACAAATTTTAATACCCTCGTTGCTGATCTCGAACTTTTTCTTGCCGAGGCCACCCTTTTCTAAAAACAGGGTTCTGTGGGGCCGGCACGCAAACACCTGGGTCGAATGAGGTTTGTAGGAAAAGGGTGGCAGCTGGGCACATCTGTGTCCGAGCCCTCTCCTGTACCTCTGAAGCTGTGGGTGCTCAGTTCCCATCAACAAGCAAGACCACAGCTATAACATTCACAGACTCGGGGTGCTGGGAAGCACAGTAGTGCTTTGCCATCTCTTTTTTGGTGAACAACCAGGAGCAGGTGGACTGCGAGGGCAGCTCTGAGAGCAGCCGTGTGCTTTGTGAGCATCTCCGTGCCCTGTTTTTTGTGCAGCCAGACCGTGGACATCCAGCCCTACATCCAGCAACCTCCACCATCCACTGAGTTTCTGTTCTGAGGCACGGATGCAAAGAAGTCCAGCCCTGCACCCAAACTAGACCAGGTCACGATGGACACAGAGAATGAGAAGATAACAGTCCTGGCTTAGCTCTTTTCCAGTGTTTGCAGGGAACGTGAGGGATCAGATCCAGCAGAGCTGAGCCATCGATGCATGCTGCTGCTCACATAAAAGATACCCAGCCAGAGAAATGGCTTCGTGTTCCCCAGCTGTGGACATTCATAAACCATCACAAGCAAGCGATGAATAAACTGCATTGAACGTAGTGCTGCTACCAGGGCCTGCGCTGAAGATACTGTTAAATAGTAATGTCTTTTCATGCCTGGTCAATTAGAAAGTGTCTGAAGATGTATGAAAATGGAGATCTATTTTTACACGGTACACAAAGGCAGAGTCACAGTATTTAGGACCCAGAAAAAAGGCCCAAACCATTTCTGAAGGAACAGATGTTCACGATTCATGCACCCTAAAGACAAAACAGGATTCGCTATCGACAGAACTAATGTTGCCAGCCAGTTTTGTCTATATATTTTTTAACTCTTTCATGTAAGCTTTTAAATTAATGAATTGCTAATAGCTACTGATAGCTGGCTTTTGATGGTCTGGGATACTTGGACGTCCTGGTTCATTGCTGCTCATGGGCCTGCCTTTGATATCTTGTGTCAATGCTACAGCTCTCAGCAAATACCTTTTGGCCTGTGATGCTCGGCTGCTGTGCGCAGTCCTCCTCGGAGAAGGAATACGTGACTCTCACAATGAGCTACCCAGCGTTTTTGTGGTTAACGTCAATTATTTCTTTAATCCTCAAAGCTGTAAGGGACTCTTAAAACGCCTTACGATTTACTTCAGAACTTACATAATTTTACAAGTTACCTTAAAAACAGCTTTATAAACAAAGTTCCGGGCTGTCTGAAATTACTCTTTTATGTATGCACATGGTCAGGTAGGTACATTTCTACTGATGGAGGTGTGAGTTGGTGCGTATCGATCAGTGTAAAACCCTTTTCAATTACACATTTTGACCTGCAGAAACACAAAGCTTTTGTAACCCTCTTGAGATGTACAGCTTTTATAATCCCCATGCTCTTGTGGGATTTCTGTCCTTTTAAGCCTTTTATCTTCCTGGTGCTGTGCCTTGCTGCTCCTTTTGTCTTCTGTTCGCTAAACTCATCGCCTCTATTGTTACGGGTGATTCCTTGGGATGATTCATAAACACTGGGAGCTAGAGCCAGATGAGCTGATCCCTATTAATGGTATTTGTGGGAATAGATATGAAAATAATTCTCTGTGTTGTGAAGTCCTATCATATATATCATATATCAGAGTTGGCTTTTTCATTCTAAAGGGTTTAACAGTGACCTGATTCAGGAGCTTGGTCATCAAGTGCTTGGCCCACTGCTAGCAGTATTCATCATCTATTTCACTCTTTTAACCTTGTTTTCTTGTTACTCCCCCAAAGAGGGGATTTCTCCTTACCTGGGGGCCAGGCTGGCTAGCACCTCAGCCCACGGAGAGGGCCATGTTAGCACCAAGTGCTCGAGGTTCCCCAGCCAGTTTTACAGCCACCACCTGATGGGACCTGCTGGTAATCCCCACGAGATGCTCTCCTCTGGCCAAAGCAGTGCCCGGTATTTAGCTGGGGTGGCGTAACTTCCTTCTCCAGTGGGCTTTCAGGCTCCTGCCCTCTCCATCCAAGCGTTGCCTGCTCAGCACCCAGCTCTCCTCCACACCCAGCCCTGACTAAGGCCTTTCTCCCGGGGCTGCCATCTGCCTTTCAAATCACCTGCCGCAGCACTTGGCGTCCTGGTTCTGCCCCGGATCCCAAAATGCTTGGTACCTTGGAGCAGGGTGAGGAAGGACATCATGTCCTACCCGTGCAGAGCTTTGGTCTCATGTCCCTTTAGCAGACCTCTGTATTTATTGCCCCTTCTGCTAGATGTTTCCTCTCATTCCCAAACACTTCTTTAAGCCCTCCTTCAGCTGACCTGTGGGATTTGATGGTCCATGGAGGTCAGCCCAGCCCCTCGTTTATTTTTTTTTTAACCTTAACAAATCAGTGATCTGTTACACAGTATTTTTCACGTGGAACTACAGAATCCTTAAAATTAATACTAGTACTACATCTACCCTAAAGGAGGACATGGACCTCGTGTTTCCATGCACATAAATCCTAAACAATCAGTCTCAAGCTTCACAGCCTTTCCAATGAGCAAACCTCACTTGTGTCGACAGAGCAACTCTTTAAAAATGATATTTATACATAGAATCAGGCTCAAAACCCCCCAGAGGACAAAAATACCTTTGGCTGTGTCAGAGAAGTGCTTGGGAGAGCTTGCACTTGCAGATTATGTTCCCGTAAACACGCAGAGAGGAAGCAGGAGCAGGAAATACCGGTGCTGCCGCGCCGGGAGCCGGAGCCCGTGCCCCTGGTTTGTGCACAGGGAGCAGGAGATGGGGATCGGGGACGGGAGCATCAGCAGGAGCCTCCCTGCCTTCACGAGCAGCCTCCAGCCGGCGGCCAACGCTGATTTAATACTCATTCTTTCTTGATGAATTGTCTCCTAAGTCTGTTTTGAATACTTTCTGCGTGACTAATTAATGCACCGAAATAAATTAAGCTGCCCTGTTAAACTTTACGCTGGGATGTACAAGCAGGCGGCTGGTAGCCACGGCTCTCTCTCGATATTTTATCTAATCTTTGTGCTCTCAAGGACGGGGCACTGCTTGTTATCTAAAAGCCACTTAACTGCGTGAAAACGTGATGTCATGCGTCTCTAAATATCTGCAGGTATTTGTGCTCAGTCTGTTGAGAAACAGGCTGGAATACAGCGAGATGCACGTAATTGCATTCTTCTAATGATAACAAAACCCACTCGAAATTGGCAAGAGATGAAAACCTGCAGCCTCGTATAGGGAATTTTGCTTGAGTAAAGCGTTCTGTAACATTATGCTGGGATAAAACGGCGTGATTCATCGCTGGAAGGACACTCCCATCTGGAGCAGATAGTTAGAAATCATTCGCCATTGACCCTCCTGAGCGCTGGCATCGGCCCCTCGGAGGAGAGGAGAAGCAGCAGGGTAAGGAATCACATTTTGGGAGGCTCTGTGGTGCCCAAGCAGGGTGGGATGCCATTCCTCTCCCTTTTGGCTGCTCTCCCAGACCTGCGGGGAGCTGGGGAGGGGGGAGCCTCTCTGCTTGCCTCTCTGTAACCCCCCTGTGCAGCGACTCGTCTGCGTGTGCGCTCAGGGCTGTCTCCTGCTTGCGTTCGCGCGACCACGGGGCTCTGCTCCTGCTTTTGAATTTACACTTTGCCATCTGCAGATCTTCCTCGTAAAGCAAGGGAGGCTTGTGCGAGGGAGCAGAGCAGCGAAACGATCGGTTGATTTATACATGTGCATACGTATACGTGCGCTTGAAATAGTTTTGCATCTCATTTCTAACGACGCCTGAAAGGAACCTCGGGCTCAGCACAATCTCTGCCCTGCTAAGATCCTAATCTTCCCCCTCTGCCAGGCAGCGGCCAGACGTGCAGAGGGCACGTTTGCTCCATGACGGAGCAGCCTGGCTGCCGCAGGACGGAGCCGGGGCACTTGTGGAGCGCACAACCAGAGCTCCCACTGCGGGGAGCCAGGAACCGGCCGGCGGAGAGCACCTGGAGGATGTCCCCGGGGTCCCCACTCTGCTGAGGGTGCGATGGGAGCCCCCTGACCTGTGGGGCTGAAAACACATGGTGCAAAGGTACGTCTCTTTTTGTTGTAATCTCCTTTTTCTAATCCTTTTTTTTTTCTTTTTAATTACAGTAAAAGAGCGATCTCTTAAGCGTAGAAGTTGGTTTGGTTGACATACGCTTAGAAAAAATGTGTTTTAATTTAAATGTAAATGTTTTCAGCACCGTGTGCATAACAAATACCAGCCAGACTATTTAAATTCGGGTTATTTACTAGCAGCTCCACTAAAGGTGGAGCAGTGGGGCGAGCCCCTCCTGCCCACGCACGGGGTTTTGCTACAACCGAGTAGAAGTTTCCACCGCCACGGGTGGACCCTGGTGCTGAGGAGCAGGCTGCGGAGTGAGGCTGGCAGCACAGCCCCATCCCATGGGGCTGCAGCAGCTTTACACTGCTCTCAGAGGCTTCTCTGCAGCGTGGATGTGCCAGCCTGCAGGGCTCAGCTCCGTGATGCTGAGAACTGAACCCAGGAGATGCGTGTGCCCAAATCCAGGGGCGCTTTGTCTGGGCGCTTTGTGCCATTCGGTGCTGGTTGGGTGATGGAGCGAGTGGATGCGCAGTTACGTGTCTGGCATGGACTGCCCTGCTCCCAGCGCGGGTATTTTGGATGTGGCAGGCGTTATGAGGTGGGGCTGTGATTTCTGAGTGTCCATGAAATCGTGGTTCTTCAAAAATTGTTTTTGAAGTAAAAGCAAATGTAATAATTATATATGGTATGATTCTGCAAAAGAGAGCTGCGTTGCTGATGCAGAAGAAATTCCTATTCTTTACTGCTATTAAAAGCAAATGAACACAGTATCATTATGTAAAAAAAATAGGTTTTTAGAGAAATAATTGTGTTTCCAGTTGTAGCCAAGGCATGCTCTCTTTTCTGCTAAAATATGCTTTATTTGGAGATGATATTGACAGCTTCTTAATGACGGTTGCATTCAATAGTGAAATGTACATCACTTGCCTATATAATAACACAATATAATGAATATTGTTCTTTCACACAGCTGTGTGATTTCTTTTACGTCTTGGAAACTCTCCCTTAGTAATGGGTACTGATAGAGATAAAAACCTGCACAAATAGTGGCTGTACCTGCAGGAATATCCATCCTGCCTGGGATGTTTTTAGGTGTGTATTTGTTGATTTTGCAGCACTGGATGCCCAAGGCATGCAGGGGTGCTGTGCTTTGTCATTTTTGCCTATGCAAGATTGGCTATAAGGCCAGGACAAGATTGCTATTTGTTGTAAGGACAGGTTGAGTTGTTATCGTAGACTGATCTTCCAAAGGGCAGAGCTGGCTCAATAGATATATTCTCGCAAAAAATGATTATGTCACCTCAGAGAGCTCTTTCTGTGGAAATTAATGGCAAATAATAAAGGTCTCGGTACGAACTGGGCAGAAATCCCCACCAATGTGCTTTCAGCAGGATTGTTGTGGAGTTTTTCACTTCTCTCACCACAGGAGCCCCGTGTCACAGCAGAGCCCGCGGCCGCTGTGGTGTCGGGAGGCTGGACGGGCCCTGCCTGCTGCTCTGCTCCTAGGGCTTTGGGGCCACAAGGGCTTCCCATGTTGGTGTTTGGCCTTCTGGGTGACAGCACAGCGGTGCCATCCACCACATAACGGGCACAGGCACTCAGGGAGGGCAGCAGAAGTGAAAACGTGGGTGTTTCTGCCTCAGGAAGCCATGAACTCGCACCCTCCTTGTGTCGCCACAGAGGCCTCGCGAGGGGGTTTCCTCACTGGATCTGCCTCTGCATCGCTGCCGAATGAAGTAAAAAATAAAGCGGGGTAATCGTGGGTGGGTGATCACTGCAGGAATAACAGTCATTTGGCTCATTAGTGCTGCTCAGAGTGATTCCCAACCCGCCGCTGGTTCGTTACACAGACACCGAGGATGGGCCCTCAGCCGGCCTTCTCCTCTGGTCTGTGGGCCAGGGATGTGCCAGCGGGGAGGGAACCCGACCCCTCAAGTTTCCACTGTTTTTTTTAGGCCAATGCCGACATAAAAAGCTCTGAAACACCGGCCTGGTTGGGATACAGAAGAGGACTTGTTTGCTGTAAATCTAAAACTTTATTTATGCGTCAGCGATCCGCTTGTTTAATTATCTGCCATTCGCGCGTTTGATCTTGAGCCTGATTTCCTTGGACTCTCTGGAGTAAAAGGCAAAGAAGTTACCGTGTAGTTGAGAAACAGTTCTTCTTGTTTGTTTTCAGTCCCTGCTCATGAGTAGGGTTGGGGTTTGCCAGTGGAAACCCAAGTCTGAATTTCTAGATTTGTCCCAGATTCCCACTACTGTTAGAAACTGGTCATCAAGGCTAGCAGGTGGTTTAAAGTGCGTTAACATACTCGCTGTACTTCCTTCAAGACATTTTTTGATGAACCCGGCCTTGGTAAACTGTAACACACCCACCCACCCCTTTTCCTGGCCCCCACATCGCATCTAGCGTCTGTCAAATTGATGTGATGGAAAAGGCAGAGCAGCTCGCAGAGGTCAACCGAGCCAATGGCAGAGCTCGGGCGATGGTGAACAGTGCAGGAGAGAGTGGAGTGTGCATCGATACGCCTGATCGGTCAGTTCGATAAAACCCAGCAAGACGTATTTAGTGAAAATGAGCTCGTTTTCCTTGAAACCAAATGCTTATTTTAATCCTAGGGTGGCTGGATAAAATGTGGCGTATCTGGATTGCTGATAGGCATCTTCCTTTTGTAAGAAGCTATTTACTAAGTGAGAATAGCGCAAAGTAGGTGGTAAGGTAGAATTGCTGTTACTTCTTTGGCACCGTAGGTAGATTTCTACATGAGACAATACCTTCTTGTGATATAATTAGAAAAGAATGACGTGAACACTAATATATTCCATGCTTATTTCATCGTTTTCTTTATTTTGGATTTGATTATTTCTTTGGGAAGACAGGTTAGCTTGAATGACAAGGCTGCTTGATGGTTGGAAAGCCTTCTTTCTCTTAAAGAGCTAAAAATCCTTCAGTTTTCCCTTTTTGCTGAGTATTAGAATGGTTGTATCGGTTCTTCTGTGCTGTTCTTCCCCCCCTGTTGAATTTCCCATGTTCTTTGTTGTGGGGTTGACCTACTCACAGAAGAGCGTGGCTCTTATCCCGCAGTCACCATATGCTCCAGCGATGAACACCGCTTTCCGTAAGTGCCAGTATTTGTTCTCCTGTACCTATGCAGTGCTTCGTTGTCTCTAGCACAGCTCTTACAACGCTGGCGTGGAACTGTGAGATGTGTGCATAGAGGAGGAACAGCTTCATCATGGACCATATATCACTGTTAACTTCTGAAATACTGCTGACAAACGTGTACCAAATAAAATCATGACTAATTGCCTGGCGTGTGTTAAAAAGAGAGAAGTTCCCTGTAAATGGTGCTGCCGTTTGGATGATGTGCAGCTTCATGCCTACGTGACCCATGGTTAATATTCGTCTTCAGTGCAGCAGGGTGTGATCTGGTCGCAGTCCACAGCGCTGCTATTTATTTGGATCGCCGCAGAGCCGAGGCTGTGTCTGTGTTGGAAGAGATACTGCAGGTGCACGCAGCAGGAGCTGCGCCTCATGCCAGGCATTTAGCTGGCTGCAATACGTGGATAATTCTTCGTGGGAGTTAAATACTGGGATGTAGTTTGAATGAAGATGTGAACTGTCCTGCTTGCTCCTCCACCGGCGTGTATTTCTGAGTGAGCTGTGGCAAGGGCTTACCTTAGTGCTTTGCCTTTTTTTATATTAATCAGGGATTGCACTAGATAGAATGGGATGGGAGGAATAGAGTCAAATATAAGTAAAAGTTTTATTACCTCCTTTTTCCTGTTCATATATGTCTGAATATAATCAATTATATTCAGATTCTGGGGGGGTTGTTTTAGGTTGTATAGTTCTTTTTCTATACAACTGCCTTTCTTTACCAGAATTACATAAATTTCTGTCATCAAACTCTGTCAGCAGTTCCTTTATATCAGCAAACGTTCTGCTTTTGTGTCTACCTACTTTCATCTCATTAGCTGTCGTGCAGACAAATTGTGGCTTGTAGGTAGCTGACTGCCTGCCTGCCAGCTGACTCCCTGTGTACCGGAGGTATTTGGCCAGCAAAACATTACTGTAAATATTTCAGCATTAGGCACGTTACAGAATTACTTGGGTTTGTACCGACAGGGGCGTTTCCTTCCTAAGGTCTGCGCTGTGCAACAGGTTAATGAACCGCACTGCTGGGGTTTAGAAATCGGTTTATGGTGCGGTGAAGAAAATATTCTGGAAGACTGGAAGTCATCTAAACCTGGTATTTTGCAGGTGTTTTATACCCAGAAATGCTGAAAGCTGCATACCCATGACCTTGCCTAATTTAGAGCTTATTAGATATGGCTATTAGGTGCCCAAGGACCTTATAAAAATTCCTAATAAGAAAGAAAGCAAAAAAATTAAACTTGCATGCCCGAGTTTGGTCATTAGCCTCTGATTTATTGCAGGAACTTTCAAATGCTAGCACAGCAGCGGTTTGTGTATTTTTCCCCCTTCAGTAGTAGGAAATTGCTAGCTCCAGCCCCGGCTCCCTTTCGGGGTCATTGTCCCGCTGCTCGTGCAGAGCCTTTCAGATGAAACCGCTTCCCGGGGCGGCTCCATGCTGCTTTCCAGGACTCGCACTGAAGCGTGGCCAGGGCTGGCTGCTGCTCCTCGTCCCTCAATGCCACGGTGTTCGGCTTGCTGCTGCTGCTGAAGGCAGTGCTTTTCTGCCTGGCTGTGGAGGGAGACACCGGAGACGCTCATTTTGGGAATTGCATCAGCGGTAGGGTTGTGGGATGTCTGTTTTTACCTAAATAGCTTGTGTCTGCAGTTCTGCTGTGGGAGCTGAGGTGAAGGCATGCCATAAAGGTGTCTGAAAATAGGTATGGTGGGGAGGAGAAGGGAAACCAACCCAAAATGTTCTTCACTTGAACAGCTGCTTTTCTTCATGTCTGCCAGTTCCACATTTTCATCTGTGTGTTGCTCTGCATTGGCATGTATGATTTTTGAA